AAAAAAAATTAAAAAGTTGAAATTTAGCAGAATTGGTCCAAAGTCAGAGTTGGAAACGTCTTGAAAAAAATTTGTCTTTTTCCAAAAAAATGTGTATGTATGCAAATTGTATAATATCCAAGATACACATTTCTAGTAATTGAGCAGTTAAGAATTAAAAAGTTGAAATTTAGGGGTTATGGTTCGGGACAGCCACCTCCCAATTGAAAGTACCCAATAAATTATGATTTTTATATATATTAAGCTTACTGAGATTTTAAATATTATTGTAGGTTTCAATAGATAATAGAAGGATCTAAGTAAACATCTAAGATTTGAATAATTAAATGCTTTAATTTAACGTTTTTTGGTTGTGGGACAGCAGTTTGCACCAATTCTGTAGAATGGCCCATATATGCCCTACATACAATGAATATGGGAAATATGTTAATATACAATTAAAGTAAAAAAAAAATAAAAAAGAGGACAAAATCTGGAAATAAACTGAAAATGTTAGGCTTAAAAAACATCATGATGTAACATGAATAAAAAATATTTAAAATTCTGCACTATTTCCAGGTCACTGGACATATTTGTGAACATGTGAACAAATTTTGTACAAGAATGCTCTTTGGGTCATTCTGGATCATGATCATCTTGTTTTACACAAACTTGTGAAGTTCATGCAGCTCATCATATAATAGATTACATAATTAGTAATGCAAAAACTCTACAAAATTTGATAAATTAGATATTTTCAATAGAAGTCTTTTGGGTTGCATATGTCCAAATGCAAAATACAGGATATTGAAGATCTATTGATCGCCATTAGAAGTTACACAAGCCATTGTGTAATGTTACTACATTGCGCAAACAGATGTTATATTTCATCATCATCTAGCTTTGTTCTATAAACTCAAATGTAGGGTATTATTGTGGCATAATAGGTGAGCAAACAGGAGGACAATCCCTAAAATTAAGTAGAGCTGTATGATGATCACAGGTGTGTCTTATACAAGCATCAGACCTCACCTGGATGGCACAGTAGGAGCAGGAGCAGGAAAAAAACATAATCCAGATGTCTCCAGCATCCAAAATTCCATCTATTCAATCGTTTGGTCGCCATTGCTCTAAAAGATACACAAAAAACTCACTCACTTTGCAACAGACACAAAAAAATGACTTCAAAAGTTTCAAAGTAATAAGTATTACATTTTGTGAATTTTAACTATTGTGATGTAAATGTAACTGTAGCGATTGACACTTTAAGTCATTGTATTTTCAGAAAGTTTTGGAATATTTGTCCTCTCCCTAAATTTGTCACTACCGAAACACAGTAATAATAATTTAATTAGAAAGATTATATTGACCTATTAAGATTTTGCTTACATCTACATTGTAAATAATTTTTTTTGCTATTTTATTTAAAAAATTTCAGAGGTAAATCAATAACAATTACATTTTTAACAATATTTCAAGTGTAATTTATGAGATTCTATTGATCGCCATTAGAAGTTACACAAGCCATTGTGTAATGTTACTACATTGCGCAAACAGATGTTATATTTCATCATCATCTAGCTTTGTTCTATAAACTCAAATGTAGGGTATTATTGTGGCATAATAGGTGAGCAAACAGGAGGACAATCCCTAAAATTAAGTAGAGCTGTATGATGATCACAGGTGTGTCTTATACAAGCATCAGACCTCACCTGGATGGCACAGTAGGAGCAGGAGCAGGAAAAATACATAATCCAGATGTCTCCAGCATCCAAAACTCCATCTATTCAATCGTTTGGTCGCCATTGCTCTAAAAGATACACAAAAAACTCACTCACTTTGCAACAGACACAAAAAAATGACTTCAAAAGTTTCAAAGTAATAAGTATTACATTTTGTGAATTTTAACTATTGTGATGTAAATGTAACTGTAGCGATTGACACTTTAAGTCAATACACTGGCCATGACGTGGCTCCCAAACAAAAGACTGGGACAGGTAACACATTTAAGTTCATGAAGTTTCAAACACATCCGCTTCCTGGTACAACTCAATTCACATTTCATTCAGTTACTTCAATATGGCTAACTTAATACCTAACTTAATACATTTCATAAATACCTAAGGCTGAACTTACAGAATGTTCACAAACATTTGTTTAACCCTTAGTCTGGTTTGTCAAGAGCTTTCAATGGAAAATCCATGGTGGGTGTGTATTTCTAACAAATGCAACTGACCTGATCTAATGTAAAATTTTTATCTAATGTAAAAGTAAATGTTATCAGAGATCAGGCATTAAGAAGAAAAAAGTATAGTAATGAATAGCTAAATTAGCCCTCCTGTAACTCAAACTGTAGAGCACGGTGCTAGCAAATGCATAAATGTAATGTAAACGTGACAGTATTTTTCGTCTTTTTTGCGGCAATGTTCAAAATCTCACTCTAAAAAGCACAAACTAATGCTAAATATTTTTAATTCATAATTTTTAATATTGATCATTTTTAAAAGAACACTGCCAAACTTACACTACCAAAAGTTAATCAAAGGTTTGGGTTGGTAAGACTTGGAAATGTTTTTGAAATTCTCTTCTGCTCAAAAATACAGTAAAAACAGTAATATTGTGAAATATTATTACAATTCAAAATAGCTGTTTTAACTGTATTTTCATCTATTTTAAAATGTATATTTTCAGCAGTCACTACTCCAGTCTTCAGTGTCACATGATCCTTCAGAAATCATTCTAATATTCTGGTTTGGTGCTCAAGTAACATTTTTATTTTTATTTTTATCAGTTGAAAACAGTTGTTCTGCTTAATATTTTTGTGGAAACCAAAATAAATTTTTAGGAATCATAAATAAATATAAAGTTTTAAAGAACAGAATAGAATATTAACATAAATGTCCATTTTGATCAGTTTAATTTGTCCTTGCTAGATAAAGGTCTTAATTTCTTTCAGATAAGTAGTATATATTGAATATCATATATAAGCTATTCTAAATTAGACAGTATTTTGATTATTTGATAAGGTACCAGTGGTTTAATAGTCTCTCATTACATAACTTACAAATGAAAGTAATGTTTCAGTATATAATTCATTTATATAACAATTTAGTTATAATGTATAACTGAATCAAAAATGTACTACCTACCCATGTAATTAACAATAAATAATATCAAATAAATTGATGTAAATAACATGAAACAATCCATAAAACATTACCAAACCAACAGATAATAAAATTTAAAATTTCACAGTAAATATTCACAATAAAGTTTCAGCACATTGCTAAATTTTAATCATAAAATGAACAGTAAATATGTATTTATTCATATTAATTAATTTTACACCACATACCTTGTAGACACTTGCATAGACAACCTGCTGTGCTTCACATCATGAGCTGTACCGACACACCAAACCATGGATATATTCTTCTCTCACACAAAAATGTGTCTCTGTTGACAGCTGCAAGCCTGGTTTCCCACAGAATAACAGGAACTCGCTGACCAAAATGTGTCCTTCCAGACTTCAGAAAAATCTAAGACAGACAAAAGTTTCTTAGTAACTGAGAAAAGACTCTCAGGTTTGACTGTGTTGTGAAATGTATCAGTGAAGACTGAGTTATGTGTGCACCACCCACCTTAACTCAAATCTTCAACACACACCCATCCTCCAAAGCACAGGAAGTGTGCTTCCCCTCTAGCAAAGCAAATGTTAACTGTAATTCAATAAATCATTATAATAATCCTATTTTTCAGTATACAGCCTTATATTTTATGCACATTTCAAACATATTGGGTTAAATTTGGAGCTACGTAGAACTGCAGAAAAAAATCGCTCGATTATTTTAAGTGATATTTTAAATTAAGTCAAATTAAAATAAATGTTTTTGAGAAATAAGCAATAGATTCAAACACTTTTGTATACTTTTACATAGTTATTTTGCTGTGGCTACTGTTTCATTTATCTCTTGTAAATAAGTTTCATGGACTAACAGGTCAAACTGCTTTTAACAGACAGAGCTTTTATTTCAATGGAATGTAATAATCGCTTTGGGTTTTGCGTAAGTCTAAGTTGTTCCACCCATACCTGCATCATAATCATGACTTTGTACACCTGTCTTTTATTGAACAAAGAGCGGGTGGGGTTTGCACCTAACCTCAACTACCCCATGTTTTGTTTTGGGCTGTTTACCTGTATCCATAAGAGCAAGATTTAATCTGTGTAGGTTTAAACCCATTTGATATGTGTTTATTTTGTAACAATAATACTGTATCTCTCAGTAATCTCTGTCTATTGTTATTCTCTTCTTCCTATCAAATCCAAATCATCATTTGACCCACAGGGGAGGGTACATTCCCTTTTCGCTTATTACACAGCGATAAAATGTGTGACGATCTGGACAATTAGCCAATTCCCCAATATTAGATTTAGGAAGTCCAAATGAGAGAAACAATAGGATATTACAGGCCCAATTGATTTCAAGAAGCATTAGTCATCACATTAATTTGTTTCCCATCAAACAGATTTACTGTACGTATGAGTGAGTCATATTAGCCTACATTTGAGTGAATATGCAAATAACGTTTAGGTTTATAATCTGTATGAAAATTAATAATGCAATTTTAATTCATATTGGTTCATAATTTAACCTAATTTGGATCTGGTGTTTCCTAATAAGCAGAACACCCAGAATATCTCATATAGCTCATTATGTTTTCTGTTTACTGGAAGCTTCACTAAGAAGCTTACTTGCAAGCATACTTGTTGGAAATAATTCTCATTCTGATTCTGAAAGCACTTTGTGAGGTTCAGTACAAAAAGAGGACGATTTATTTTATTTTTAAGTGACCACTTAAAATATTAGGTATATTATATTAGCGAAATTTCGCTGACAGTTATTTTAGGCGCTCTGTTTTAAGTAATATGTGCATGATACGATACCCGTCTGAGGCTGAACAATTGATAAGAGTCTGCACATGTCTGCGCAAAGGCTGCGCATTTTTATCCCCTTGATTAACCTTTCCTTTAACACGGAAGTTGCGGTTCAAGTGCTGGGAACTGCAATCTAAAACACGAAAGGGATCCGCTCTCAGTAAATAATTGTTCTTTAAGGGTGTCTTGTAAATGATGCACATTCTCCATCCTGAAAATGCATAGTACTTTGAAAAACTGGAAGAAGACGTTTGCAGATTTTGCACCGGATATAGAGTTGACCTGTGGGGTAGTGATTGTGATCGTGCTGTCATGTGTTTTTACTGTCATCCCATATTACTTAGATATTTCAGAGCACTTTTTCAGTCTGGAGTTCAGTGCTGTCATCAGCGGCCATGGTAAGAGTTGTTTAAAACTTATAAGTTACAAATAACTCCCTCAGCTCCCTTTTCCTTCTACAAGGCACAAAAATAAGTTGAACTCATTGCATTTTGTAGACTGATGTAGCCTGTGACCCACAACTACTGTCTTAATGAGTGTATTTTGGGCAGAACGTGCCTTAAATACCTCAAAATTAGAGTTTTGTGGTTTGCCGTCCATGTCTGTTACCTCTGGTGCCAGCTATATGCTAATATACTCCTAAACTTTGACAGAATTCACTTTAGTACATTTAAATTTACATGTAGTCTCTTTTTGGGAAAACGGACCGACAATATTGTTGACATGTTTTTGAGCAATAAAAGCGCTAGAATGAGAATGTCCCGCCTCCAGTACCACCCGCAATTGAAGTTTATTGGTTATTTAAATAAAGAGCCCTACGATTTACCCCGCCTCTTTCGTGTATGTTAGCCAATCAGAAAAACTGGAGGTGGGTCTCGGGCAGCATCGACCAATGACGTGAGTTTGGGGGTGAGAAACCTGGGGCAAGTTCAAGCTCAAATCGGTGCGCAACATTTGCTACGGTTTCCGGTTTGAACGACATGTTTCCTGGAAACGGTGTGCAAAGGGGTTTGAGATACGTTTTCTCTTGTTAGGTGGGTGTGTCAAAAATGTCAGCCCAATCAGCAGCAACATGTGTATAAACCATGCTGTATTGTGTGTAAGTGTATAAGACAGCTGGCACAATGTAATTAACATCAAAATAAATTCACAAGAGCAAGTATATTGTTTGCACATGTTTATTTACATTAAAGGCAAAATAACTGAAATAATAAGAGCACAAGTATAGATCTGGAACTTCTTTAAGTCTGTCTAAATATCATTGCAGTGACTGTAACATCGAGTGTATTTTGCAGTATTAAACACGTATTTATAGCGATTTCGTCAGGCTCCGAAAATTCTTCAAAAAGAACACAAAGAATGGCCTTCTCAGCTGCCATAGTTGCAACTCTTGCGTCATCAGAACAGGGTGTTCAACGCACCACCGTTTCCGTTTAAAAAACGTTTTGCACCGTTTTGTCGGGGCTGAACGCAGCCCTATTTGGAAACAACAGTCAAGCAAATCCCGCCAAAACAACTCTTTAGTTACCGCCCACTCCTATAAAGCGCATAATCAAGTCAACCTCCCTATGCTCTAAACTACATAAATATGTGTATATATACATATTTTGCAATAAATTAAAAAATAAGCTGTTTCTATATACATAATCAACATCTTTAAATTAATATTTTCCTATTTATCCATCATTTTTATTTTATGTCATTTACAATGCTTTGACTGTAGACCTTAAATACTTAGTCTTACCTTTGTCAGTTTTTCCAAATACGTTTTTTTCTTTGGATCAAATTTTGTAATGTTTACTGGATTAGGTAGCGCACTGTGTTTGCTATATTATGTTATCATTTATTAAAATAAATAAATATACCATAAATACCATTTTTGTTCATTTTTTGTGTTACTTAATTTTTGTTCCCTCTCTTCACAGTCTACAAACTCTTCACCTATTTCCTCTACCACAAGAATATGACGCTTTTGTTCCTAAGTGCCGTCCTGATGGCGTTTCCCTGTAGCGGGCTGGAGCGAGGAATCGGAACGGTCAGATTCCTCTACCGGTCACTGCTGCTGTCGTCCATCTGTGGACTCCTACATGTGCTGCTGGAGTCACTGCTGTTCTCCCCGTCCAGTAGGAGCTCAGTAAATGGGCTCGTCCCATTAGCCCTGTCTGTCCTGGGAATGATGACCATCAATTCTGTTATGCGGAAGGCGTATATTATGGGCGTCAGTGTGCCTACTGCATCTCTCCCCTGGATTATTCTAATAATTCTAACCCTGTTCTTTCCAAACACTTTTTTCCTTTGCAACGTCCTGGCCATCGTTACAGGAATGTTACGTATCCTTAATCTTAAATGTATAGAATACTTCAGACTTTTTTCATTTTATTTCATATGGCAACAGTGTATAGTGTATTTTTATATTATTCCTTAACTTAGTACTTTTAGATGGAGTAGGATGGTTTTCGTTATTAGAGATGTCAGAATCTAGAGCTTCCGTCTTGGAGAAGAAGTTCCCTTTTCGCTTGCTAAAGCATATACCTGGTGTCCAGTTCATTCCTGCATCGACCGAAGAGCGCAAAAAGCCACTTGACCTCACGTGAGTGATCAATGCCACAATTACATATGGTCACCCTGTTGTTTACTTTACGGTATTCATATTGCAGTGTGTAGAAGGTTGTTAGAGTGCAGATATCTTCCTCATTTTGAGCAGCTAGCAGTAGTAAAGTGATGCATTTCAACCTTTTTTACTGGTTATTGTTGGTATCTTTTAAGCATTATGTCTTTGTTGAATGTGTGCCACAGCCTGTTTAAGTAAAAGGTTGGAGGTTATTCATTTTATTTATGCAGGTCTTTAAAACAGTCTTAAACAGAAAGTCCACCCAAAAGTGAAAACTCTTGTCATATTTTGACAACATTTTGAAGAATGTTGGTAACCAAACAGTTTTGCTTCCCATTGACTTTAATTGGATGGTCAAAATTCGCAATGAAAGTCAATGGGAACAGAAACTGTTTGGTTCCCAACATTCTTCAGAATATCTTCTTTCATGTTCCTCAGAAGAAAGAAAGTCACACAATTTTGAAAAGACATGACGGTGAGTAAATGATGACAGAATTTTCATTTTTGGTGCACTATCCCTAAAACCAAAACATGTTTGGATTTTTCTCAGTATATTTTCTGACTTTAAAAAACCCGACAGTGTTTGTGAGATCATAATGACATTTCTCTTCCCAATTAAGTTGAATGCATTAAGATTTAAAAACAACAAATGCAAGCTCGCCTCATTTTAAAACCACAATGCTGGGCATTTTAATGCAGTTGCAGCTTTGGCGCACTAGGGGGATGAATTGAGGAGTCAATTCTATAATCTAAAGTAGAAATCAGTGGAAAAGGCATACCAGTCAAGAAAATTATAAGAAAATAAGAGAAGAACTTACATATATTTGTAATTCCAGAGATGCTCCACCAGGGTCGTACCCTGTCCAGGCCTACGCTCCAGTAAATGCCACCAATGGTCAAGTTATAGGAAGCCTGCCCAACACAGTCGATGGTTGGCCCGTCTCACTGTATCCTCAACAGCAATACACATTTACTTCACCTTACGCTGGAGTCGGCATTGGTCACAATCATGGACATGGACACGGCCATGGTCATCATCATGGTCACAGCCATCACACCGGCAGCCCGTGGATGCCAATGTCCCCATATGCTCAGCATCAGTTCAGGCCTCCAGTCAACCTGACAGGTCAGCCCTTCACTAAACTACCTCAGCCAGGAGTGCCATTCACACCTCTGATCTCACAGTCAGAGACTGGAGTGCCTGCCTTTCTCACAACTCCTCCTGGAGCCCCTGTGTCATTGTCATCCTAGAGATTTGATGCCTTATCTGCAGGTTTTTTTGTTTGTTCGTTCTTCTGATACCTAATGTCTTGTTCCTAGAATTCAAACGGCTCCAGATGTGCAGTGATGTTTAACTTGTTTTTAATATTATACAGTTGCTGTTTTGCTTAAGAACATTTTGTACCTTCAATTAAAAACTGATTCATTTTTTAACAAATTCTTTGTCCATTTTATACACTGCAGTATTTTTTAAACATGTCCATACAAACACATTTTGAGGCGAGACAGTGTTTGTGCATATTCTTTCATCGTCAAACATTGCATGACTTGGATCACAATTTTGCACAAAACATCTGATATCACAATGACACTTCTCTTCCCAAGCAGTATTAATGCATTAAGTTTTAAAATTACACAAATGCAAGCTGTCTTGTTTTAAAACCACCATACTGGGCTATGCAGTTGCAGCTTTGGCTCACTAGGGGGATGAATTGAGGAGTCAATTCTATAATCTTAAGTAGAAATCAGTGGAAAAGGCATACCAGTCAAGAAAAGCTTAAGAAAATAAGAGAAGAACTTACTTTTCTTGTCATAAATGCACCTTTTAAAATGTTAGGAAAATACACATTTCTGTGATAATTAACACTTGACCATTTGCTAAAATGTTAAAAAAATTGACAAAACAGAATGTAACACTTCACCAAAAGATGGGAGTCATGTTGATTGCATAATTGCTCATTCACTGCTACTTAACATTAGTGTGAAATAATGCATAAAAAGAGTGGCAGAACATCTTGAAACAACAGGAAATAAGAATGAACACAAACATCACATGATCAAAAAAAAAAAAAAAACACAACTGACCTAAAATGTTAATTTCCTGTAAGACATTGTAGGATGTTTTGATACACAATATCACAAAAACAAACTCTAAAGTTTTACAGTACGTCACAAAGTGATACTTGCAGTCTTTTCACATAGAGATAAAACAATAGAACAAAAAAAAAAAAAAAAAAGCATTTTGCATCCTTGACCTACATTTGCGTATACATGAACATCCAATGCTGCTTAGGGTTCAAATGCAGTCAAATCAGTTTCCTGTTGCAGTACGTTGAATATCCTAAACTCATCTGAGGGAGGAATGATAAACCATGCTTTTGTATGATGTTGGAGTGCAGTATCTTTCATCAAAACTCTATTATATAACCAATCAGTCCAGGCAAATTCAATGTTTTAGCTCTAGCTTTTGGAGAAATGATGGCTTGAGGTAAAGTGGCAAACATTGGTTTATCAATTAGCTTAGCTCCAAACGTCCTGCGAGTAACGGCCCTTGGTCATCAGCTTCTTGAAATAGTCCACAGCTTGAGTGTGCGTCAGGCTGCCCACCTCCTCTGCAATCTCATAGAAGGCCGTGTGCACGTCCCGAGCCATATTACGTGCATCTCTGCAAGGACACATATTCTCATTACATACGTAAGCAAATATGCTGCTGGAAAGAGATGCTGTGGTCTTTAAAGATACAATATGATACTGATGAATGGCAGTATTGACCACTTTATAGTAGAAAAATCATAGAATTATATGGAAGCACTATAATTATTTCAAGCTATTTAATGTTCCACTGAAATCCTGCCAGTTAACTACTAGTGCGTATTGTGTTCATAAGAATGTTATTCATCTGTGGTAGAAGTAACTTCTGGTTCTTACCCACAAACGTAGATATGGGCATTATTTGAATGAATGAGCTTCCACAACTGCTCCTTGTTTTTCTTCAGAAGATGTTGCACATAGATCTGTAAAAACAACACAGTCCACAGAATTCCTCTTCAGTTCCAAACTAAAAATGGAAATCTTTAATATCGTGAAAACTCTTTTTCTGGTAACGCTGAAAACTATGGTAATGAAGACCAGTCATATTGGTTGTTTAGGAAGATGAATAAGTGGAAAAAATAAACAAATAATATGCAGTGCATCTTTAAATTTGGATGCAAATAAATATATTTATCTGTTTCTTGTTTTTTCAATACGGTACAATTTTTGAAAGAAAAAAGGCTGCATTTATTTACAGTAAAAAATGTAATATTGTGAAATATTATTATAATTTAAAATAACAGTTTTCTATTTTAATATATTTTAAAAAGTAATTTATTCCTGTGATGCAAAGCTGAATTTTCAGCAGCCATTACTCCTGTCTTCAGTGTCACATGATCCTTCAGAAATCATTAATATCATTGTAAAATACATTTATTTTTCAATATTCTTTTATGAATATAGTTCAAAAGAACAGCATTTATTTGAAATGGAAATCTTTTGGAATATCATAAATGTCTTTTGTTCAATTTAATCCATCCTAGCTAAATAAAAGTTTTATATAAAAGAATATGTGACCAATATTGGATTTTTAAAAATGTATTAAAAAATGTGTAATTCCTATTTTTAATTTGTATTAGTTTTGCCGTCATCTGCCACACACTTCAACAAGTTATCTTTTTAAAACACTAATAATTTAACACTGTTAATCATAACATTTAGCAAATCTCAAAGTGAATATCCATTATGCAATACAAACAAATAATTTTATAGATTTTCTTTAGCCAATATAGTATAAAGTTTTAATATTAATTGCGGCCATAACATGAAAATAATTTAGCTACTGGCCAGAATCTGAATTTCAGTGCATCCCTATGTCACTCACCTTGTGCTCCTGGTCTCTGGAGAAGGCAACGTTAAGCTGTGTCAGCACACCTGCCCTCTCAAACTCCTCCAGTTCCTGCTGATACAGGAAGTCCTCGTTCTTATGGCGACAACCAAAGTACAGTATCGTCTCACCAGCTTCCTTCCCTGCAACAGAGAGCAAAAACTGAGTGAGATACCTATGCTATATTATTATACACAAGTTTTGTCAAAGCAAGTTCAAGCTTCACCTTGTTTCTTCTGCCATGCTCTCTCCCGGATGAAGCCCATGAAGGGGGCGATGCCAGTACCAGGCCCGATCATGATTATAGGGTTACTGGGTTTGAACGGCAGGCGGAATTGGGATCTCCTAACATACATGGGAATGGTGAGCTTATGGCCGTTATCGGTCACTTCTTTGTTCTTAAGCCAGTTGGTGGCCACACCCTTGAAGACTCTTTCTGTCTTGGTGGTGTACTCTATCACCACAGCACAGATGTGGATAGAGGTTGGATAGACCTGAAATGAAGGTGAACAAAGCTTGTGTCAACCTCAAAGTTTTTAATTCACGGTATAATATCGAAAACTGCAGGTTTTACCTTGCTGGAAGAGGCAATGGAATAGTATCGAGCCTGAAGTCGAGGAAGGAGCTCACACAGGTGGTCTATAGGAGGATTCAGGGAAGGTAGATCCTCTAGAATAGCTAGTATGTTCCTCTCAGAATCCAAAACCCAACTCTGATACAAAGCCTTTAAAGGACCAATCAGATGGTGAATAAAAATGTTCAAGTTTTGCTATAGACTACATTACATCAGTATGGAAGCCCGTTTCTGCCACTGAATAAAAAAAAATTTCAATTGCTGGATTTGAGACTTTAGTCTTTACAACTTTACAGATCTTCTTTATGCACCAAGAGCTTGTAACACTCCAAAGAGAAAGGAAAAAATGAAATCGCATCATATGACCCCTTTAAATCTCACAATTCTGACTTTTTTTCCTCACAATTGCGAGTTTACATCTCTCAATTCTGACTTTTTCTCAGAATTGCATAATACAATCTCGCAATTCTGACTTTTTTTCATAGAAAAGTGAGATATAAACTCGTAATTTCGAGAACAGTATTGCTATTTGTAGTAGTGATATTTCAAACCATTTTAGTTGTACAATGCTGTAATATTAAGTATAATAATTTAAAAATATAACTGTGGAATCACCTCAGATTGTTGAATCAACATCACATCATCATATGAACACAATTATAAGAGCTTGAATCTCATTAAAACCCTGAAGAACATGGGTTATATTACACCCTTAAAAAGGGGGAAAAAATAAGAAATTATATTTAATATAGAAATATACAATTATTTTTATATAATAAAGTTATAAAATTGTATATGTATTATTTATGTATCATAATACAAAACTAAAAACAGGCTTAATTTTCCTCCTACAAAAAAAAAGAAATTGTATTTAATATAAAAATATAAAATAATGTTTCTATAATAAAATAATAAAATTGTATATGTATTATTTATGCAATACAATATAAAACTAAAAAGCAAATAATAAAAACAGGCGAAAACTTTTTAAAACTTTTTTCCCCTTTCTGTTTTTAGGGTGAAACGTGACCTGGAAATGTTTTCATGAGATTCACCCAACAAGTCAATTATTATGCATACCTGATTTTAGAGTCTGTGATATCGAACTCGATGTGCATCAGGTGCCGATTTCCTCCTTTGTTCAGTTTACGATTACCAGTCACAGTTGCAAGGAAAGGATTCTTTGAATCAAACGGTCTGCACAAATCAAGTGAATAACAATGCAATCAGATAAAATGCTTTAGTGTAACATTTCAGTATATCATTTAAAACATGAGACTCTAGCTAATCCTAAAAAAAAGTCGTTCACAAAACCATGATTAAAAAAACTTTACACAAACTGAAGGTCATTTTACAGACTTCTAAACAATAGAAGCATAAAATGTACTCTCAGATCAAGAGTGATCTATTAAAATGCCGATCGGTGTCTGCGAGTTTACATCTCTCAATTCTGACTTTTTCTCAGAATTGCATAATACAATCTCGCAATTCTGACTTTTTTTCATAGAAAAGTGAGATATAAACTCGTAATTTCGAGTCAAAGTCAGAATTGTGAGATACAAATTCAGTCGCAATTGATTTTTTTTTTCAGAATTGCATGATATAAAATTCACAATTGTGAGGTATAAAGTCAGAATTGCGAGAAATAAACTTGCAATTCTGATTTGTTTTTTTTGCAATTGCGAGTTTACCGTACAATTTTGACTTTTTTCTCGCAATTCTGAATTTTTTCTCAGAGTTGTGAGACAAACTCGCAATTGCATGTTATAAAGTCAGAATTAAGAGATACATTTGCAATTCTGAGAAAAAATGTCCGAATTGAGAGTTAATATCTTGCGATTCGGACTTTATTTCTGAGAATTGCAACTTTATTTCAGAATTGCGAGTTTTTTCTCGTAATTGTGAGTTGTACACTTGATTCATATTGATGTCATTATGAACCACCAGTTCAAACTGCCGAATGCTGAAAGAACACAAAAAGGAATGGAGATCTCATCCTAGCCTGTATTTAAAGCCTTCAAAACACCTATGATGTTTAATAAGATGCAAAAACCTATTCAAAGCAGGACAGGTGAGGTTTTTGTTATGGAAGAACATGATAAATGGATTTGCTTCCTCTAATATGGAGATGAGACACTGCATGTGTTGTGTTGCCACAAAATACCCATCAAATAAACATCACGTTTGAACTAGACAATCTCACACAGCTGGTCTGGCTCTTTTAAATTCTACTATTTGATGCCTACCAATACAAGACTGTATTGCAGACTGTTTTTAAATTAAAAGTTGTGATTCAATTACAAGACAAGCACATGGAAAATTAAAATAATACCTGCTGTCTTCTCCCGTGGCCTCCACGCCAAAGAACTCACATACTGCAGGCCAAAACTGTTCCTTCCAAGAGATAAAATCCTCCTCCAAGCTACAAATGATTTAAGATGAAATAATTAGGACAGGCAATGAAAATGAATTAAAACAAGACAACATGTACATGTTTATCTATTTTATCTGTTTCAATCTTTTATTCACTCACTTGATGTCGTCATCCCCGAGGCCCAGGTCAAAGACCCTTTTTCCCCCAAGTTCAGCAAGCCTCTTGTCTGTATACTTGCCTGTGGCATTGAAGTGCTCATATGTTTTATTTCCCAAACCAAACACCTATGAAAAATTTGCAAAGAAATCATTCAATCTCTGCATGGAGTAAAAAAGACACTTTCAATCAACACATACAATACTTTAAGGCTTAATGTCAACTAAAAACATTTAAATTGTCTTGTATTTTATGCGAGTTCAATCTACTACAAGGTTTTACTTAATCATTCAAAACTTCCTCTCCAGTTTAAAAAGATCAAACTGAGATATGAGTCACCAAATGGAAACGGAAACTAAACCTAAATTATGACTTCTGGAGAACAAAAAAAACGTCATATATATTCATGATTAAAACTGACTTCAATGCATTGGACTAAAATTCAACAGAATATTGAAATTGTCTGCAGGATCTTCTTTGCTCCTTATAACCTCCTCTAGCCTGTCCCACAGTCATATAACGCTGTAGACGTACTGCAGTGATGTTTCCAACCACATGTTTTATCACGCTGTCCCACCACAACCACATAAAAGAATCTGAACTCCAGACTGAAACCAAAAGGCTTTCATCCAGAATGCAGGTCCAACTTGAGCGGCATCTGGACACCCATGTCTCCAGAATCAAAGAAACAGAAGATCCAGTGATCCAGTTTCATCTGAAAGAGTCCCGCTAAGAGAGAAGTTCCGCTGGGATGGAGCTCTAGCTTTATTTGGCTAGGCCAGATGTTTCCATTTGGTGAGAGAGAACTGATGAGGATTCCATGGGCCCCTTAACTATGGGACAGCCTCGGGCTCAGGCTTGTTAAGAACTTCACCGACTGCCCAGGAAATAGGTACCACTCCATAAAAAGGCCAGGAATTTTGGAGGGTGCGAGGTTGCAAGGTTGTCCCATGCAATCTCTTGATCCCCGTTTACTCACCATAGAAATGAATCACAAAAAGAAAAAAATTAGCTTTCTATGCACTTTGCTAATGTTGGAATATTACTCACAGCAAAATTGACCCCCTCTAGATCATCATCAGTCCCTTGCATCCAATCGTAGAACTCCTGAGCGTTGTCTGTGGGGTCTCCTTCTCCATAGGTTGCCATGCAGAACACAGTCATGGAATTAGGAATCTCTTTCAGTCTAGACAGCTCTGACTGCGAATGGGAGATTATAATGACAAAAGTCAAAAGACTTGAAAAGTACTCAGTTCTGATCTTGACTGATTGATTTTTAATAGTGCGCATTAAACAGGAAGAAATAATGGTGAAAGTACCAGGTCATACTCCTCTGGGTCAGCGGCCATGCCTTTCATGCCGTAGCGTTGGGCATCTTTTGCCAACCTGTTAGCAAATTCCTCAGCAGTCCCTGTTTGGGATCCATAAAACACCACAATGTTTCGGTTCTAGAATAGGAAGATACAGAAATCAAACATAATGGAACTCTTTTTTTCCATTGTTCAAGGTGGTGGAATTTTTGCCAATCATTTCAACTTTTTAGAACTTTACTAATTACTATGGTAATGTTCCTGAAAATCTCACCGTTTTCTTCATTTTCTCAATAAAGCTGGTCTCACGTATTTGTGGTGTTCTATGAAGAGAAAAAGAAGAAAAGAAGAAAAAAGAGAGAAAAAGCACACATGTGAAAAGGCTGAAAAGCATGCCAGACCAATTCTTTTGGTAATGAATAGAGGATTGAGCCATTCATTTCTCAGCCTTTTCCACACAGGAGAACTTCCTGAAGTTCACACCCCTCTGAGAGCACCACAGCATTAGAACACGTCTGCTTTCAGTCATTGTTCAACTAATGAAAACCACAAACTTTCATGGTAATTCAGCAATGAAGAACAGAAGGTAGTCCACAAAGCGCAAAAACCTTACTTGAACATAGTAAGTTTGATACAATAATCTTGTGTTTTCTACTCCTATTAAAATGCTCTTTATTTGTAAAATGTAAACAAAATCAATAAATGAATTAAAAGTTTTCCAAAATTTCTAAATAAATAAACTTTCTACAAATAAATCTACAAAAAAATCTAAATAAATAAACATTTCTATCTATCTATCCATCTATCTATCTATCTATCTATCTATCTATCTATCTATCTATCTATCTATCTATTTTTAAGAATAGAATTCTGTTTTTAAGAATATTGTTCAATAGTTTGGAGTCTAGAAACAGAAATTAATACATTTATTTAGCAAACACTATAAAACAGTAAAGACAAGGAAATTGTTGTTTTTTCTACCTTCTATTCATAAAAAAAAAAATCCAGAAAAAAAAATGTATCATGGTTTCCATAAAAATATTAAGCAGCACAACTGCTGTTTTTTACATTGATAAAAATAAAAAATGTTTCTTGAGCAGCAAATCTGCATATTAGAATGATTTCTGAAGGATCATGTGACACTGAAGACTGAAGTGATGATGCTGAAAATTCAGCTTTGCCATCAGAGGAATAAACTACATTTAAAATATTTTAAAAGTAGAAAATAGTCGTTTTTGTATTGTAATATTTCACAATATTTTTTGTCAAATTAATGCAGGCCTGGTGAGTAAAAGAGAGTTCTATCAAAAAAATTTTTTTAAATCTTCCAGACACCAAACTTTTGAACAATAGTGTAGACTGTAAATTTATTTAAGCATGCGCAAACTTTTTACTTTCTAGAGTTCAGGGTTAGGGTATATAATGTATAATCAAACTATCAAATTACTAAACACAACCATCATTGCACTGGCAAGACATCACAGTGCAAAAACAATGGATTCCTCCCTTACATACTTGTTTATAACTCCAAATGAAAGAAACAAATTAGCCGCTTCTCATAGAGAATTCTTGTAGCATTCCAAAAGACATTCCACAAAATAGTCACACCTTTGTGCAAATGAAAATTAGACACCTCAGTTTGCTTTTGAACACCAGTCATACAACACTGTTAAAAGACTATAAGCAATCTCTTCGAGCAAAAGCAATTACACAAAAGTCATAAATAGCACCTGAAATATCTATCACAACAGAAGGAACATCTCATAAACATCCATCTGTCCCAGACTAACCTCTCTGCAGCAGCCAGTCTGTCCTGAGGCAAAGAAAACATGCATCCCATGACTGGGGAAAAGACCCTGTCCTTCAGGGTTCGGCATACAGAGCACTTTCGTCTCTAAGAGGTTCGGATCAAGCCCTCAGACAGCCTGAGAAAGTCCTTTGGATTGTGTAAAAGTTCATTAGGAGGCTCTGTAGAAAACACATCGCTCTTCAGCGCAGGAAAAGGGGGTGTGAGGCAGGCGAGGATCTGAGACGGGCTCTGTCTCTCTCTCTCCTGCCATCTGGCCAGAGCACAGTGGTTGCAAAGCAACAGGAATATACAACATTTCCCATGGATCTCTGCAGCACAACGCTGTTAAACCCCCAATCTTAAATGCACACACACACACACACACACACACACACACATAGACATGCATAAAAACTTGAATGCTCCTGCCAACGCAAACACAAGGAGTCCATTCCCTAATAAAATACAAAAGATCACTAAACAAAAGGCAATCTAAGTTTCTGGATTTCATTCAGTTTTTAACACACGCCACATAAGAAATGCATTTGATTAAAACAACTAAAGAAGAAAGACTAGTGGAGTTGTTCAGGACTTTGGCAGGATGGCTTGGACTGGCTGCGATCCTTCAATGTGAGTAATGTGAACCAGGAAGTGGAGAGAATTGGAAGAGGTTATCCTTTCCTGCTCGCTAAACATGTCTTCCTGATACTATAGTTCTCTACTTATACATCATTTCCTCCTGTATTCTCTTCTGTTCTTTATGTATTGCTTTTTTAGAAAACACAATCAATATATAGTAAAAAGGGATTTATGTTGAAAGAAAAGTTGTGCACACTATTGTCCAAAATGTACTTTTTTAATGTTTCTGAAAGTCTGTTCACCAAGCCTGCATTTATTTGAACAAAAATACAGTAAAATATCAGTACAATTTAAAATAAGTGTTTTCTCTGTCATTCTGTTTTAAAATTAATTCCTGTGATGCAAAGCTGAATTTACAGCAGACATTCCTCCAGTTTTGAGTATCATGTGACGTGACTTCTGAAATCAATCGAATATGCTGATTTGGTGCTCAACATTTCTTATTATTCTCAATGTTTTGGTGCTTAATATTTTAGTGAAAACCATGATACATTGATTTCATGATACTTTGATGAATAAAAAAGTTCAAAAGAACAGAATTTATTTGAAATAAAAAATATGTATAATTATATATGTCTTTACTGTCACTTTTTATTTATTTAATGCATTCTTGCTTAATAAAAGTATTCATTTCTTTATTTCTTTCAAAAAAAACTAAAACATTTTTGAACGGTACCTTGATGCTAAAGTCATCAGGCCTATCATTGTTTTCAAGGGTGAATAGGTCACAAGTTTAACAGCACTACAACTGACTAGCAAGGATTATGAGGAACATTCAGGAAGAATAACATCCTGTGACTCCATCTGAACAAACAATGCTCATTTTCAAGCTCACATGTGACCTTGGACCACAAAACCAGTCATAAGGGTCAATTTTTTTTTTATTAAGATGTATACGTTGTCTGAAAGCTGAAAAAATAAGCTTAGTTTCCATTGATGTATGGTTTGTTAGGATAGGACAATATTTGGCCGAGATACAACTATTTGAAAATCTGGAATCTGAGGAAGCAAAAAAAAAATCAAAATATTGAGAAAATCACCTTTAAAGTTGTCCAAATGAAGTCCTTAGCAATTAATATTACTAATCAAAAATTAAGTTTTGATATATTTACGGTAGGAAATTTACAAAATATCTTCATAGAACATGATTTCTTCTTTAATGCATTTACCGAATGAGCACTGTGCTATGTCCGAACTGATTGCACTGTATTTTATGTATAATCATCTTTTGTTCTTAACTGTTTTTTAACTGATTTAATTCATTTTAAATACATTTTTAAATCATTTTAAAAGCTTTTAAATTCCTTGTTTTTATTGTTGTGATTATTTTTTTTCCTTTTATGTAAAGCACTTTGAATTACCACCGTGTATGAAATATATACAGGTGCATCTCAATAAATTAGAATGTCGTGGAAAAGTTCATTTATTTCAGTAATTCAACTCAAATTGTGAAACTCGTGTATTAAATAAATTCAATGCACACAGACTGAAGTAGTTTAAGTCTTTGGTTCTTTTAATTGTGATGATTTTGGCTCACATTTAACAAAAACCAATAAAATAAAACCAATAAAAAAAACATTTTTAGTGAATAGTTGGCCTTCTGGAAAGTATGTTCATTAACTGTACATGTACTCAATACTTGGTACCAACCAAAGACTTAAACTACTTCAGTCTGTGTGCATTGAATTTATTTAATACACGAGTTTCACAATTTGAGTTGAATTACTGAAATAAATGAACTTTTCCACGACATTCTAATTTATTGAGATGCACCTGTAATATATATACTTGTGCTATATAAATAAACTTGCCTTGCCTAATGATTTTTGGCATAAAAGAAAAATCGATAATTTTGACCCATACAATGTATTGTTGGCTATTGCTACAAATATAGCTGTGCTACTTAAGACTGGTTTTGTGGTCCAGGGTCACATATAATCCTTCTGTTTATTACACAGCTCAGTTTAATGTTTGATATCACTAACTGAGTCATTGACTGTTGAGCATTGTGAAAACCGAACAGGAAATTCACTTTTTTTCATACATGGCATATGAAAATTTGTGAACAAAGTAGCTGTTGGCATTCACAATGACACATAACCACTGTGTATATGAACTGTGTCTCAGCTGCTACAGACCATAACACTGAGACAGAATGTAATGCACGCACATTCTCTCGATCCCATGATGTCAACACTTTGCAATGTTGGAACCCATGACCAACTGAACCACAAAGTGCTTTAGGAACGAGCCATGGTGCAGAAACGATGCTTTGTTCAAACAAGGCCAAAGGTCTATGGGGAGAAAAACTATAAACAGGCCATCCAACAAAAATATTATTGCAAATTTGAGCCCCATAACACAGTTTCTGCCATGGGCTGTAATGCATAAGCTAGTTTTGTAACTTTATCATTTGCATTTACACTTTTATGGGATGGAACAGATATATTGTGCTTGTGTTTTACAAAACTCTTTTAAAGCTCTGATCAACATTTCAGTCGTGCAGAAAAATTTGTGTGGGTGTAATATTTCCCTCTTGAGGACAAATGAAGGGGGAAGGGGATTTAAAATCAGGCACTTACACTGGAGTGAATGGCTTGATCTCTGGAACAGGCTCTGTTTTTTTTCGGAAGAAGAACCAGTAGATAAGAAGTCCTACGATTAGAGAGAAGAGGAAGATGTCCAGAGAGCTGAGGAGAGGCTCCGGAGTCTGCTCCTCATCGGCGAGCAGCTGGGATTCACTGTCTTCCATTTTCACAGAATTCAGAAAGCAGTTATGTCTGCGAAAACAGATTGTTTTCATCACTTAGTATTAGTCTACAATTGATTGAAGGGACTCTGAAATATGCATGCATACATACAGTACATACACACATAAATTAGGAAGTCACACTATATATATATATATATATATATATAGTGGTCAACACCACTATAATAATCATATATAAAATGTAAAAAAAAAATTGTATAGATAGACAGTATAGATAGATAGTTTTAAAAAAGTTTACATTTTCACTTGCATAGTTTGTGGCCATGTAGTAATAATAACATAATATATGGTGGCATGCAAAACTTTGGGAACCCCTTGCAGAATCTGTGAAAATGTGAATAATTTGAACAAAATAAGAGAGATCATACAAAATGCATGTTATTTTTTTTATTTAGTACTGTGTCCTGAGTAAGATATTTTACATAAAACATTTTTACATATAGTCCACAAGACAAAAATTAAATTATTAAAATAACCCCCTTCAAAAGTTTGGGAACCCTGGGTTCTTAATACTGTGTGTGGTTACCTGGATGATCCAAAACTGTTTTTCTTTTTTTTTGTTATGGTTGTTCATGAGTCCCTTGTTTGTTCTGAACAGTTAAACTGAGCCCTGTTCTTCAGAAAAATCCTCCATGTCCTGCAGATTCTTCAGTTTTCCAGCATCTTTTGCATATTTGAACCCTTTCCAGCAGTGACTGTATGATTTTGAGATCCATCTTTTCACACTGAGGACAATTGAGGGGCTCAAACACAACTATTAAAAAAGGTTCAAACACTTCTGGAGCATCAGTGAATGTTTGAACCTTTTTTAATATGTTAAAAAATGTTTGAACCTTTTTTAATCTGAAGAACAGGGCTCAGTTTAACTGTTCAGAACAAACAAGGGACTCATGAACAACCATCACAAAACAAAAAAACAGTTTTGGATCATCCAGGTAACCACACACAGTATTAAGAACCAAAGGTTCCCAAACTTTTGAATGGGGTTATTTTAATAATTTAAGTAATTTATTTTTGTCTTGTGGACTAAATGTAAACATATTTTATGTAAAATATCTTACTCAGAACAGTACTAAATAAAAAATAATAACGTGCATTTTGTATGATCTCTCTTATTTAAAATTAAAATTATAATTAGTTAAAATTATTCACATTTTCACAGATTTTGCAAGGGGTTCCCAAACTTTCGCATGCCACCGTATATCTTATGTCTAAGTACGTTGACAAACAACAGAATTTGTGACTGTCATGTTGTGCCCTCTTTTGAAGACTCAATGTAATTACATAATGATGACCAATTACAAAACACCCTTTCCTTTGAAGGACTTTCGTCAATTTCTAATTACCGTATTGTCCCGAATATAAGACGATATTTTTTTCTTGGAAATACATCTGAAAAAACGCGGTCGTCTTATATTCAGGGTCTAGACTTTGGCATGTCAATAATACACCCACAACAATATGTGGCGCCAAATACGCATAAAACGAGTGTGCCATGAAATACGTAATGTAATGCGTGTTGTAAAGATCGCGAGTAAAAACAAAAGAAGCAGAAAACCTTACAGCTGCATGAGTCGTGACTGTCACGTTAGCCTGATGGCACCAAACTCCCTTTGTGATTTTAAAACGTAAGACAGTACCCAGATTTGAAGACTACAGTAAGATTTAACTTCTACTGTTAATAAGATTTTGGTAGGCTACTATTAGATGGATAGCCTAAATGTCCTAATTCAGATGGGCTACCTGTTTTTTTTTTTTTTTTAATGGTATATCAAAAAGTGTATATTTTTTAAATGTGATTGTTGGTACATTTGACCAGTTTTTACCATACTTTCAAAACAAAAATTAAAATAGGAAAAATATGCAATATGAAAATAATTGAAGACAAAATGTGTTTTACTGAGAAAAAAACAAGATTTGGTTTTTAAAAAGCCTTTTTCCAAAAGGTACATCTGGAAAAAGGAGGGGTCGTCTTATAATCAGGGTCGTCTTATATTCGGGCCAATACGGTAAATGTCATTTTTCACCACCTTGGTTGCTTACATAGAAACTTTTATCGCTCAATAACAGCCATGTCGTGTTACAAAACAGCCCTCATGTCTTAAAAAGCAGAAGTACTGTAATACTGACATGTTTTTGGACATTTAACATGTATTTGTTTAAATATTTTGACGTCCATTGTACATGATTATGTCAATCATTCAGTATCACGTAGCAAAGTAACATTGTGTAACGTTACCATCTGATAGGCCTACTATCACTGTACTATGCTACCATCGCCATAGTGCTTTTTGTAAGGGCAGACATACGCGTATATACACAAAATGTTCACTTTTGTTTATGACTTCACAAAAGGATTGAAATTAAACTATTAGGAATGGATATTATTACAAGTCAACAGAATACACACTAAAAACACATACCTCCGGTTAGCTGGAGCGAGGGGCACAGCACGAACTTACGTCACATTGAAACGCCGGGTTGCCAGCGCAAGTTCAAATATCCCTCGTGGTATAAAGCAGCAGTTTAACTTTGAACAGATTCCACTTTTTTGCTTTGTTGTAATGTTTAGAATGCGTTAACGTGTTCTTCGAAATGATTTTCGATATTATTTGTCCATTGCAGCATTTTTTCCCCACTTAGAACTGAAGTGCGCCTGTCTGTGACCGTAGAGTTATTCTGAGTTATTTGGCAATTATAAATGCTATGAGAGTTGTCAAATAAAGACGAGAGAATTAAAAAACTGAACTGGAATTTTTGGTTTAAAATGCAAGTTGATGAGATGTCTTTTACAATAGTAAAAACCTTGGACCTAACGTTCTGCTGAAGGCACTTAAGGGATATTTCCATTTCCCATTTCTGTTTGACAGGGCTTCCTCAATCAATTCTTGAAAATATCGAAAAAATTAATTCTAATTTTCCTAGCATTTGGCTGACTGCACATGCTTCTTACTCACATGAAGGTGTCATAGTCCTATGATGGTAAAGTCATGTGGACTGATAGCAAATTATTTCCATAACCGTCTTCTAGCTTCTGTCTTTGAGATCATTAACTTGCCCATTCGAATCAGCTTTAAACATAGGCCAGAGGTGTTTAAAAAAGGTGTGGAAAAAGAAAACATAAACACACTGTTATCATATTCTGATGTCATGACTTTCTTTGACATATGGTGTGCAAAACACCATGACACTTAGTGCTTTAATAAAATAAAAGCAAAATATTAAATATTTTAGGTTTAGGGCAAAGACATTTCATCCCTTATGCTTTGTGACACATTTACAAAAATCATAACTTAGCCAGGTTGAACCACAAACAAACATTCATATTAAACATTAAAAAAACATTAATATAAAACATAAATTGCTTTAATCAAGAGTACAGCAGTGCCTTTGTGCCCGTCATTTATAAATCTTTGGCTTTGTCCTGATCCATGTATTTGTGGTAAACAACACCAAGAGTGGTGAAGAAATTTCCCATGAACAAAACAAGGAAAGTAGAGCCGCACATGAGAACCTAAGAAAAAGAAAGCATTTTAATTGCAAATGATTTCAACATAATCACAAAAAAGATATACTAATACTTCTGGCTTAAAGCAACATACACATCTTCGATAGTTAAATATAATGTCATTTAGCTAATATGTGTTGGCACATGATGTAAACATTTTAAATTATTTTGAAAAACTGACCTGCCACTCTTTCCATTCTGGAAGCTGGGCCATTTGGAAGAGTGTAATTCCATTATAAAGCTGGAAAAACTGGATATGCATAATAAGACGGTTAGAACCACAGCATAATAACAATAGAATTACATCAGAACTTTTCTGAATACCCATGTCAACATTTCATGTCAGAATTAAGTAAAGTCTTCTTTTGTCTGGTACTGTAATTCAAGCACAGGTAAATTATAATAACATTACAGCTATAAACTGGCACTGTGTGCCACAGAAGAAGTCTTTAAAACAATGATTACATTGCCACAAAACAGGAAGTGAGCTGTTTGTCCATGCAAGATGATTGCATTTATTGCAAAACAACCCAAGATTAACAAACACAGTATCAAACTTACATGGCCCAAGAAAAGGAAAGGCAGTAGAAAGGTCAGACCCCTCCACATCCAGGACTGAAACCCCTCTGATCATAAAGCACATGTGAAAACGTGTTAGCTGATAATTCTGCAACAGAATAAGGAAAAACAGACACACAGACAAAACAACACACTACCCACCAACTGTTAGGTCCATGTTGTGTCTTTCTCCAAGAGCTCTGAGTCTATATAAGCAGCCACTCTGGTAATAGTACTGGAGAAACTGAACAAAATCTGAAGGGAGAACAAACAAGAAAAATAAATAATTAAATAAAACAATGAATAAATCATTATTACACTGAAAGTGTTACTAATGCTGTAAGGCAGCAGTTCTTACTTATATACATGGAGTAGGACAGGAACTGATTTCTGAACATCTGGTAGAGTTCACCATCTGGCCTGTGAGACGCACATGAACAGCTGACGCACATCAGATATTCACACATACTATCTCAGTCTTTTTCACACTTATTCTGTTCTACTGTTCCTCAAAAATGACTATAAAGTGTACTAGCCTACTTAAAAACAGTTCATTTTAAGCATTAAATCAAAATAGATGAATCTGATTAATCTAATACATATTAAAATACTCTTTATTAAAGTACCAAAGATTCAAAGATGTAATGTTGTAATATCTCACAGTGTTAAAGAGTTAAGTTTGTCATACCAGGTCAGCATTACTCCAGAGAGAAATGTTGTGACATAGTGTTGAAACACCCACCAGCCCTTGATCCTGAAACACAGGCCAAGTATTGCAACTTTACAGTATAGCCTGTAGTACTGATTTAATACATGTCAAGAATACTACATACACTGTAAAAAATAAAGGTTCCAAAAGGAGGTTTTCGCAATGATGCCATAGAACCATTCTGTGTTCCCAAAAAATCCTTCCAGTGAATAGTTCTTGTAAAAGAACACTTTTTATGCGAGGATTGTGGAAAGGTTCCATGGATCTTTAAGGTTCTTCATGGAACAATAGATGCCTACAAAAAAATCTTTCTTTATTTTTCTCACTTTATCCTTTATTGAAAGGCAGTGTTACATTTATTACATACAATGAAAAGAACCTTTATTTTTAAGAGTATAATCATATGATTATTCGTACTTGGAGCCATTATTAATGAGGATGCTCTCTCTTATTGTCAATGTACAGTAATACCACACCAACAGGAAGTTGAAAAGTGCATCTAGAACCCTGTCAAAACACAAGGGAAGAAAGACAAAAAATAAGTTCAATTGATTATTTCACATGTATTAGTGAAACATGCAGCATTACATATAATCAATGATTAAATGGCTGTTTCTACAAGAAATTTAAAAAAGTACACTTTTACACTCTCAAAAAATTGCAATAAACATGTACCTGTAGGTGACCAAAAACCGACAGGTGAATGAGAACAACAAGAGCAGCACAGTCAAGTACAGTTTGAACTTCTCATACTCATCTTTATAGGCAAACCTGTACAATTGAGAAACAGGCAAAAGTCAGACAAATCACATGACTCATGACTCATTAACATGACTGCGTTTTGTGACACCACAATCTTTAAAGATGATGATCACAAGTTAAGGCTATTGAGAAATTTTCAAAAAATTTTTATCAAATAGGACTGTTCGGAGAACTTACTTGGACTGTTTGTTAAGGAGTGTAACGTTAACATTTCCAAGAACAAGACTGAGGTATAAACTGGAACAAAAACAGAGTAAAGTATTTCATGTTAGCATCAGGTGCTTGCCGAATCATAGTATGTGTCTGAACAAGGTAAACTGCAAATCCACACACCACTATGAATTATTTTTGAATTCTATACCACACCTTTAGTCTACAGTATTTTAAGGTCAACACTGAATTAGAAACAGGCAAATACAGAGCTGTATGACCTGCTTTGAATAGTAAATGCTGATAATGTGTATTTTAAAAGAGGGTGTGACAGAGGTGACATTAGCTATCTCTCATTTGCATTACTCATTTTTCTTTGGCAGGAAGGCCTCCATCTCAAAGAAGACATTTGATCTTTCCTTTATAGAATCTTGGATCTCGTCTATTTTATTTACATCTTCTGGATTCACTACTGCTCTGCATCTATGATAGAAAAAAAAGAAATATAAGATATAGATCATTTTATTTGTAGCCAAAGCATATATAACTCATGACTTACTCCTGCAGGGATTCATTGAGATCCTTTATCTTTTTCCTCTGCCGTGCAATAGAAGAAGAGCAGCTATCCTGCAGTCTCGAAACCTCCTCCAGCTTGTGTTTGTAAAGTCGATGTGTCTCCTGTGCAACAAATATAGACATTACAAATTTGTATATGCCTATCTCATGATGAACAGTCATTTTGATATTTCTGGTGTATTTAAAGGCTTATTATTACTATTTATTTCACCATCTGTGTGGACTAACCAACATTTTTAGATTTTATATATATGATATTGTACATTATTGTTTGTCATTGACCCATACAAATGCAATGCAAAATACTTCATATATTGCAATTACACATTATTTTTGTGGGAACTGTAGGTGCTATTTATTAATAAAAAGCTACAAACATGTGGGTTTTTTATTTATTTATTGTAACTTTATATATATGATATTGTACATTATTGTTTGTCATTGACCCATACAAATGCAATGCAAAATACTTCATATATTGCAATTACACATTATTTTTGTGGGAACTGTAGGTGCTATTTATTAATAAAAAGCTACAAGCATGTGGGTTTTTTATTTATTTATTGTACCACTGTTATACTGTGAGTTGGTAAGGATTAAATTGCTAAGCAGCTAGTGCTCAAAGCTGAAGCGTATCGATACAATTAGCTGTTCATAGCGATACTTCGATACATTTGTAAATAAAAACAAATACAATGTATATAAAAACATTTAAAGATAGAGGAGTAAGATCTCATAGTTCAGAGCAGTGCTATCTGATTAGCAGTGGAGAAAGAAAGACTCCTCACCTGAACTTGTTGATAGTCTTTTTCCAGATCCTCCCATTCTTGTAAACATTCGTTCAAACCAGTCGGGTTAAATAACATTTCCAGAGAGTGTATTTGATGAAAGGTAGTGTTCCCAGATAAGAGTGAAGAGAATAACGGTCTGTTCCACCGTTGTCGGAGCGCCTCGCTATCTTTGACAGACGTCTGTCATCTGAACGCAGCTTCACAACAAGAGTAGCCAATCAGAGACAAACCCCGCGGCATAATGAAACGCCCCTCCCTGCAATCTGACCAATGAGCGCTTTCAAAACAAGACAGATACGTCATAGACGCTGTAGCCTGCTGACTGACTTCCCGTAGACGCCCATAAAGAGGGAGAGGGAATATATCAACTGTGAATAACTAGAGTTCAGGGTCAGTGTTGAAATTGCAGACAGAACCTCTTATTATGACATAGGAATGATGATTCGGCAGCAAATTTTAAAAAGGTTTATTAAATTTACAACACATTATATGTGTGTGTGTGTGTGTGTGTGTGTGTTTGTGTGTGTGTGTTAAAGCAACATACAGTAAAGTGGATGAAAATCTTAAAACTATTTTATACATTCTAATATTGTCTATAGTGTGTTTCCTGGAAGTAGTTTTTATTTTTAAATATTATTTTAATTGATATATTAACATTAAATAAAAATCTATGATTCTGTATCATCAGTGACTGTAGAAAGTCAGTGAATATGAATTTGCAAATGATGTTTCTGTTAAATGTTGTTATTGTCAGTAGTTGGGTTCTGATATATCTGTCACCATCTTCCCAAGAGTCTGAAGTTCCCAGTCAGAAAGTTGCTGTACAAATCCTCGATTTGGCTTCATGTTGGCTTTGCACTGCTGAATATGATTCCATGCCTCCTAAAATATTCAGAAATGACAGGTGAGAAATATTTAAAAAGTATCTGTCAGTAACATCAATGCAAAAAGTAAAAACATTACCTTAAGTGTGTATTTGAGGTGATACATAAGATATGCCATTGTTACAGCACAGCATCGGCTTACTCCAAGAGTAGAGAATATCAAAACAGAAGAAGAGTTATTGAGATGTGAACCTGAAATGTTTAAAACACCCACAATCATAACTGAACATCAGATTTTTTTTTTTTTTTTTTTAGATATTTGAGTTATTGTTCATCCACTGGATGAAAAAAATCTCCCAGTACTTACCAATAAAAACGCACATTCTCTCGAATGAAGTGATCAAATCTGCCTCTGCAGAATCTGCCATTCGGATGTGTAAGACAGTGCAGTTTGCCTTTTGAAACCTAGTTTGCAAAGTTCAGTTCACAGATTAATTTGGGTTTTCAGGCCATACTAAAACTGGACTTTAAAAAAAATACTATGATTACATATATGAATATATATGAAATGGTGGGTTGGCTCACACAAGACTGCATTCATCAGAGACATTGACAAGTGCATTCAGCTTCAGATCTTTAAGGATTTGAAGGTTTGTGGCCTGCCTGTAATCACCCATATAAAGCTTGCCTGGCAAGATTTCCACAGGATAGGGATTCAAGCTCTCCAATTCCTATGAACATAAGTATTTATGATCATTAAATATGTTTACAAACAGCAAAAAAAACAAACACCTAATTTATGATCTATTAAGAATAATACCCTAATATTGTAAAGAATCTTTGGCGTTCTTAGGAAAGGGTAGAGTGCAGAAAACTTCTCATAGCCCCCACTAAGAATCTGAACAGGAAATTGGCTTGATTTTTCTATGCTGTCTGCACAGTCTATAGCTGGACCTATAAGAAAAACATACAGTTAGGATTCTTTCAGAGCTGTACTAACATGTTTAGCAGAGTTCATAACATGTTAGAATATGTAGTGTCTTACCTGAATCTGACAGTGAATGTGTACTACTGTCATAGACAATTATGTATCTCATACTTTCAACCTCAACATCCAAGGGCATAATAAACTTCCCATCAGAATCCTTTGAAAAGCAAGCAAAAAAAAATTACCAGTGGCGATTTGATATTCTACAGTGTAGCGAAACAGGATATAAAAACCATAAACTTTAGAGGGAAAAAAACATAAAACTGAAACATACCCATTTAGCATTTCTGGCAGTAATGATGTGGCTGAAGTTATATGATTCTGCTGCACGGGCATCTGAAGAAATAAGACTATTATTATACTTTCACTTTCATTTGCTGGTGTTTGAATTAGTACGTTCAATGTACAGTCAGTATTTCAGAATAACTTAATGCTCACCAATCAAACAAAGATAGTTGCTCTCTGCTAGCCTTGGTAGAAAAGTGTATTGATTTAGGATGTTGTACAGTTTTGTTGCCTCACATAAGACTTTTCCAGCCATTAGCAAAAGCTTGAGCACAGAAAATGCTGATGTCTATATGTCTCTAAACAAAAAATATAAAGACCTATATTTGACTAAAAATTACTAATTGTCGCGTCTTGGCTTGATACTCAATTTAACTTAGCGTTTTGAAATATTACTGCTCGAAATGTTTCTTAAACCCAACTAGACAACTTTACTGTTTTTGCTTACGATCAAACATCATGCTCTATGTTTACGCTCCTGCTATGGTAACATACAAACCGCCGCAGTGATTGGTTGAAAGCGTTCCGCTCCAGATGCAAACCCTTTCCGTTTTCCTTAACCAATCAAAAGTTAAGCCCCGCCCCATTGCACTTCAGCTGCAATCCTATTGGAGGGTAAACAATAAGGAACTATTTTCAAAATCAGACAGACATCTGCCAGCAACTCCGGATATGCTTGGATTCGGGGTATGTTGTTACTATTAGCTACTTAAATCGGTAAATCATGAATCATTAAACGATGTGTAATTCCTTTCCAGGTCCTCGGCAGTGCCTTTCAGCGGCGGAGGAAGAGAAATGGCTGCAGTCGACGCTGGGCCATAAAGAGCAAGATGCCACTTGGGACTCCTGCCATACCAACGGCCCCTGTGTGAGCAACTGAATTACTTATGTATATACAAAAGCAACGCCTGTATATACAGTGCTTTCATATACACTTGCAGTATAGTTTAGAATTGTTGTACCACATATCATGCACACTCCATGTATATACTTATGTGTTAAGATCAAATATGCTAGATAGATATTTACATATATTCCACAAGACAGAATAATCAACCATTTGCTGTAATAATATCTGTTGTGCAGTATTAAAAAAACGCTAACACTTTTTATCTTTATTTTTGAGACTTAAAGGGATAGTTGACTCAAAATGACAATTCTTTCATCATTTACTAACCCTCATGTTGTTCCAAATCTGTATGACTGATGATCTGTAAAGCAGAAAAGAAGATATTTGAAGAATAATGTTGGTGACCAAACAGTTTTGGTGCCTATTGACTTCCATTGTATTATAAAAAAATAAGGTATTTCACAAAATATGGGTAAACTATCCCTGTAAGACTTTGAAAATAAAAGGCTTATGAGCTAACTGTATATCTATATATACTTACTTTACTTTCTGGTAATACTTCCACCCAGTCCAGACAACAAATCAAAGGGGGACACTATGGAGGAGACAAGTGTTCAAGCCACTAAACAGCTGTCTTCGTCACTAAGTATTGGAGCTCTGTTTTCTGCAGTTGGACGTGTTATGCAAAAATGCAGAAAGACGATTAATCAAGTAAGTTTTTCTTTTTTCATTTATTAGAGTTAAAAAGAGCTTTTCAGTGTCTGACCTGCTTGTTTTTTAGATCTGTTCGGGTCTCCTGAATGTCGTCTTTATCTGGAGAGGCTATTCAGAAAGAGTGGAGTCCCTTCACCAAAAACTAGAGGAGCTGCAAAGGGAAATCGCACTATTGCATTCCACTTTGAAGGTTGAAACTTTTCAGCTGTACAGAAAAGGATTTTCTTTAATTATTTTCAAAATCCCAGTGCTTGTAATGTGTATAAAATATTACCTCATAGCTGTACCGTGAAGCCAAGACTGTAGGTGGTCAATGTGAAATGCCTGATGGTGTTCAGCACTCTCTACCTCCGCCACCACCTCCTCCTCCCCCGCCTCCTCCTCTTCCTCCTCCTCAAATTCTGTTGACACTTGCTGCTCCGAAGATGGCCTCACTTCCGCCAAAACCTACACAAACTAGCTCTCTGAAGGTAATAGTTTATTTTTCAATTCACTTCACTTTGCTTGTTGAGAAAACAAGTTATGAAGGTTTGCACTATTTTAGGTTTTGCACTAATTTTCCTCCTGTCCCCTAACAGGAGAAGCAAAATGGCCCTGCTGCTGTGACTCTTCGAGCTCTTCAAGCAGTACGACTAAGGAAAGTGACTGCAGGCCAAAAAACTCAGGTGAGTGAAAGATTGTGTCCACAATTTTCCATTGAATTCTGCATTGAGTCGATATTTATGATGGCACTTTCGTTCACAGGTGTCTCCAGAGAGAAGAAGTTCACCACTGGTCACACTCGCAGACTTGCAGAAAGTCAGTTTACGCCGCTTTAATCCTGACCTCCCCTTGAAGTCTAGATCAAGCCTTTGCAGGTAAAAGTCTGCATAAATAAATGTATTTATTTTGCTTCAAAGCAATGCATTGGTTTTTGCTATACATATTTTGTGCTCTTCTCTGTAGGACTGTCTGTAGGACACCAACCAAAAATCCCATGAATCTTCGGGTACAGCTTCGAAAAGTCAACTTAATGAGGCAAGATCACTTTTACTTTGTATTGTTGGAATCAGAGCCAAGACATGCCTAAAACTGCAGACATCACATCTAGCTGTACTATACTTCTCATTCGTTATATTCTTAGGAGTCCTGGTGGCACACCACTATGTAACAAAGAGAATGATGTGATGGATTCAAGCATGGATCCGAGCATGACCAGAGGTTTAGGAAACCAGTACCTGGTATGTAAACCGCTTTATCCCAAAAAGAATCACATAATTTGTTCCTTTAAAGTTCTTTTTGAGACTGCTGGTTTCATTTTATCAAAAGGTAATTTTATTTAACAATATAAATCATGAATTTATGAGCTGAAAATGATTTATTTAATTCTTTTTTGTTCTTTACAGAGTGCTTTAACAAAAGGACTATCACCACTCAAGGCTGTCTAAACAAAGAAATTGACTGTTTTATTTTTATTGCATGGCCAGTCTTCTTGTTGTTTTTTTACATGTGTACTGTGACTGTGCTAATAGCTTTGGTTCTCATCATACTGTCATGTTACTACGTTAACTATTTTAGTGACAGGACAGTATTTGATGTTACTCGCTGCTATGTTATTTTATATACTTGTTGCATGTGAAATGTGCTTCCTGCTGCTTTTATATCAGAACCCCCTTTTCAAAACATGCTCACAAGCATAATAACAAATGCACACTGTATGAAAATTAAATGCACGTCATCTTGAGCATGTTTTTAGATATGGTTAATTGTATGATTAGTAGAACTACATAACTGAACATGCGGTTCAGTGTCACTGTTACTGAATATGACTGTGGAACGTGCAAACTAACTCGGCTTTAAAATATAGTACTGTATTGAAGTCTGTACAGGTGTGAGAAGTCAGTTAGTGGTCTATAAATTCAATACGCCATTGATACCTTATGTGTGTGTGTGTGGTAAAACGTGAAGCAAAGCTTGACATAACCAGCCGTGTTACTGTGAGACTCAGGATGTTTTATTTCTATGTATTACTGTATGTTTACCGGTGGGCTTGAGGCGTAACACCCAATTACATGTTACAATGTCTTAATGTTGTATTTTAAGGGTCTTTTGCAATATTTCTCTAAAGCCACTTTTATTTGTATGCAAAAACTATTGCAAGTAATAAAAAACGTTTAATAAATATTGTACCTACAGAAAATGTGTATGTGCTTTTTTGATTTACAGTGCAAATGAGTGCATTTAAATAAAGATAATGTAAAGATTTAATTTCTGGGTTATAAAATGTACATTGTTATTTTAGTATTATTTATATACTATTAAATAATTTATTAATACATTTTAGTTTAGGTTTTAAAAATTGTATGTGCTTTTGTCATTTTTATTAGCTTTTTTTTATTTCTTTAGTCGTTTTAATATTTAAACTTAAACTTATTGCAATTAGCTGCAAAGGCAACATTTCTGATTTACCTTTAAGATTTTTATCTAATATTTATGTTTATATATTATAGTATTCATCAACATTTTTAATTAGCTTGTATTTGTATATTTTCAGTTTTCCTCTTAATTTTAGCTGTAGTAATTTTGTGCTTTTGTTTGTGCGTTTTTATATTTCTATTCGGATATAAGTTATGTTTTAGTACTTTTAATATTTAACTAAATCTTATTTTAGTTAGCTGACAAGCCAACAAAAGTGTTATCTAACTTTTATATTTTATTTTATTTTAGTATTTTTAATTACCGAAAACGATTTTTAATAGTTTTAGGTTTAGTTAACAATAAAAACACACTCTATATTTCTAAAACAATTACTATTTACATATTACATTTTGCATGCTTTTTGTCTGGACATTAACTTGCAGATTTATGTATCCACCCGGACTCTTCTTCTGCGCTTAGAGAAATGCGTTCATCAAAGCCCCGCCCATTTGTTTCTGTCCAGCAAAAATGGCGGTGCCCATGAATATTGGAGCACTGTTACAATCAGAAATAATAGAAGACACCGTGGACAAAGATGAGGGCGTTTGCGTATTGGGCATATTTGGGAAAAGCGCAATGCAACCGGGATCAATCAAAGACTCTCTCATAAACACCTTAGCGGATAAACACGTCTTCTCTCTCTTTGGGAGCGACGACACTGACAGCTCGAGCGGGGGAACATCGATTCATGCGTATTATAATCAAGAGAACCGCGTGCTGTATCTCGTATTAACGTCTGTTTTTGACAACCGCCAGCTTATTCGCGCGTGCGAGTCATTGACGGCGGGTTTGGGTCATGCAGAAGCGCATGAGTTTTGGAAAGCAGCAGAGAAGGATCACTGTTTGCAGCTGCTGTATCTCTTCTCGCTGTGCCATATTCTTCTGCTGGTTCATCCCACATGTTCGTTCGACGTCACTTACGATAGAATGTTTCGCGCATTGGACGCGCTACGGCAGAAAGCGCTTCCACTGCTGCGCGCCGCGATTAAAGATTCGCCAGTGTCTAAAGAATGGAAGTTAAACTGTCGGCCCTGCCCTCCACGTTTGCTATTCGTGTTCCAGATGAACGGAGCGCTCAGAGTGGCCTCCTCTGGCACTGGTGGGAATGGGACTGATGGCTCTGGAGGGGATAAACCCAAAAAACACTCCCCAAGAAGGAGACTGCAGCATGCTCTGGAAGATCAGATATATAGGATATTCCGGAAAAGTCGTGTATTGACCAACCAGAGTAGTAATTGTCTCTTTACAGTCCCTGCCAATCAAGCTTTTGTTTATGTAGTGCCAGGACCAGATGAGGACCCCATTGGCTCTCTTCTGGGACACCTACGGTCCAACTGTGTCCTTCGAGAAAGTGAAGGAGGCACGCCTGCGCCCAGGCAAAGGCGGTACCAACAGATGAGGCAGTCCAATAGACAACCCTCTTTCAATGTAGAAAGTAGTCTTTCTTCAGGAGGGCAGTTGGTGGACTGCACTTTAAAAGAGTTCCTTTGGCAGCATATCGAACTCGTATTGACCAAGAAAGGTTTTGATGACAGTGTAGGTCGCAATCCGCAGCCATCACACTTCGAGTTGCCTACTTATTCTGAATGGGTGCATGTTGCGCACAGACTTTATCAGGTCATGATAGAGAACGCTGAGGATGATGCAGCCGAGATCTCCCTCAAGGTGCAGGGTCAGCTCAAAGTGTTGGAGGGGTTCCTTGACGCAGATGCAAAGTTCTCGGAAAACAGGTGTCAGAAAGCCTTGCCACTGGCTCACAGTGCGTACCAGTCAAACCTTCACCATAATTACACCACCACAGTGCACAAGAATCAACTGGTGCAGGCACTGCGAGTGTACAGCCAGCATGCGAGGGGAGTCGCCTTTCAAAGATACGCCTTGCAGCTCCATGAGGATTGCTACAAGTTCTGGAGTAACGGGCATCAGCTCTGTGAGGAGCGCAGCCTTACGGATCAGCACTGCGTACATAAGTTTCATCTGCTGCCAAAGCCAGGTAAAGATCCATGTATTCCCTGGCAATCGAACCCATTACCTTGGTGTTGCTAGCACCATTCTCTTGAGTTCTTTTAAAGTAGAGAAAGATCTTTTTTTTTTTTTTTGACTGATGACCCCTTGTACCTTCCAGTGATTTTTTACTTTACAAATCTGCATTATGACATATACCATGTTTAATAATCAATCAATAAATAAATAAACCTGAAATTAATGTTTATTCCTAATCCTAAATGCTTGTTTCATACTGTTAGTCAAGTAGCACTTTATACAATATATATTGTTTGTATTAGTCTAACATTGTTCATATAAAGTTAATATTAAAGGAGTGTTTCAAGGTAAACAGCATTCCTGTAGCTAGAGCATTGTGTTAGTGATGTCAAGGTTGTGGCTTTGACTCCCAGGTAATGCAAGTACTTATAAAAATGTGTATCTCCAATGCAGTGCAAGTCTCTGCGTCTGGCAGATGCATAAATTTAAATATCTTCATGATACTGTCAATTAGCACATATTTTTGACTCTTGGCAGAGTTTGTAGAATCTAAAACGAAATATTTTGACAGAAAAACAAATACCATTTATAATGGAAGTCAGTGGAGCAATATGGGATGCGGTGCTCTATGCGATGCTCCAAGTCGCTTTGTTTCCATCCAAAGATGCAAATTTAACCCATGCACAATATTGGAACATTGCATAGAATATTTGCGAACAAGAACCGTTTTCCACCGAGTCAAAGAGAACAAAATCGTCACTTCCTGCAGAGGTGGATGCCTGCTGTTTGGGAACACAGTCATATAAGACAGTTCTGGAAAGCAATTATACAGAAATACTTTAACGACAGACTTTGCTCAGGCAATTAAAAAAAGACCATAACAACATTTCAGATGCCCCTCAAGTGAGCGTAAAAACTTTTTTTTTGAGAATTATATTTTTTTCACGAAATTTGGTATTTCCATCACTCGTTTGTGATGCGAGACGTCAAAATGCGCATAAAAACAGGGTGATAGAAACAGTGAAGAGTCAAAATTATTTTCCTTGGCATTTTGTAGAACATACTTCTCTCTACCTCAGTTACCACTTTTCTTCACATTGCAGGAGAGAAGCCAGAAATGGACCACAACCCACCTATTCTATACCACAATAGTAGAGGCCGCTCTACAAGTTCCTGTAACTGTGGTAGGAAGCAGTCTCCAAGAGAAGATCCATTTGACATCCAAGCTGCCAACTATGACTTCTATCAAGTCAGTTGCAGCCAAGTTCTTCTACTGTAAATATTCACTACATAAGCTTTAAATCTATTCTTCATCATTCTGTCTATCATTCTCAGATGCTTGAGGAGAAATGCTGTGGGAAGTTGGAGAGGATCAATTTCCCAGTGTTCCAAGCCAGCACACCTGACCCTGCTCCTGCTAGTGATGAGGTGCCCAGACCTGGAGAGGTACCTCCATCAGGAGAAGCTGATCGTCTAAAGGAGAAAGAGACTAGCACTCATACACCTGGTGATAGCACAAGTCTGAGTCTAGCTCTTAGCTTGGGCCAGTCAACTGATAGCCTTGGAACATATGGGGATGGAGCAGAAGGACAAGAGAAGAGGCCAAGCTTGGTGGACAGACAGCCCTCCACAGTGGAGTATCTTCCCGGCATGCTTCATTCTGGATGCCCGAAGGGACTGTTGCCCAAGTTCTCGAGTTGGTCTCTTGTTAAACTTGGTCCAGCTAAGGCCTACAACAGCCTCACTGGTTTAGAGCAACCTGGATTCCTCCCAGGCTCCGCTTTCCTCTTGCCCTGGGATGTTGTCATTCGGAGCCGATCCGAGGAAGATGTAGGATCGCTTGAGCCTCTGGATGGAGGCCCAGCCTCCTGGCCAGCTCCGAATAAAGCATCTGCTGGAAAGCGAGGCAGCGCTGGAGGAATCGGACGAGGGCGCAGACGAGATGATGTAGCTCGTGCTTTCGTTGGTTTCGAGTATGAAGACAGCAGAGGGCGCCGCTTCCTTAGTTCTGGCCCTGATAAAGTAGTCAAAGTGCTTGGGCAAGGTGGACCAAAGGAACCTGCAACCAGATGCTTGAATTCTGATATGCCTTTATACATTCCCTCTCCAGCTCAAGGACGAGGGATAAAGCCACACTACGCTCAACTGGCTCGTCTTTTCATCGTCGTCCCTGATGCTCCTCTTGAGATTGTCCTAAACCCACAGGTACAATATGTTAAAAAGTGATAAATCAGTCAATTTAATTCTCAAATTGAAGTATTCACAATGATTACCACATACGTTTTCTCCATTAAAGTATACTGTTCTGTGCTTCTCTTCTCTCATAGGTCCAGTCAGGTCCCCCTCCCTGTCCTATCTTCCATCTGGAGCAGCCTGAGGTTGCGCTGCCCTCTGATGGACTCTGGGTGTTACGCTTCCCTTATGCCTACGTTACAGACCGTGGACCATGCTACCCTCCGAAGGAGAACCAGCCATTGGCAAACTTCAGGGTGCTGAGAGGCATTCTGCGTGCCAACACGACTAGTTCAACTCCACAGTAACAAAAAACACTCTGCACTTAAAAGCACTGTTGGGATATCTGTAATATCTGTAGGACATGGACATTTGGTGTCTCCATGCTTCTTTTCATTTTCTGTGCCGGTTCTTTTATTAACCAAATTCTAGAAATAATTGTGGCTGTAAATACAAGCAATCAAATTAAGGAATGTTGTGTTTACAGTAAATAAATACCTGCAGTGAGAAAAAAAAAAACAGACAGTGAACAATGTCATTATAAAACTATAATATTATTTTAAACTGAATTTACTTTTTAAATGTGTATGCAAATAGTGTACACTCTGGATTTTCTGTTTGTTGTGGACGTTTGAGGTTGATGTTATGAATTATTTTTACCTGAGTAAATAAAATGAGATCTTATAAAACACTTGTTCCTTAGAAAGAATGTTAAAATATCAATCTGTTATGGTTGTGGTTTTACAGTAGATATCAGTCTATTAAGGTTTGTTATGGTTTTTACATAAAAAAGCAAGTAAAAACACGGCACAGAGAGGCGCTATTTAGTTATGTGATCTGTCTAACGTAATTACGATTTGGTATATCAAAGACATTCTCAAGTGAGAAAATACAACGTGACAACTGTAATATCTTATAAATACTTAATATTTCATGAGTTTAAAGTTATTTAAGACGTACTTTCGCTTTTAGTTTTTATTACTTATCCAGCTGACACATCACAAAGATAACCAATGTTTTGGTTTTTCGCCTGCATATCCTCTGCGCTCGCTCATTGGTCCGTCCACTTTTTAGGCTGGCCAATCAGCGTATTGTTGCTAGGCCGTTTTGTCTCATCTATTTGCTGGCCTGGTTGTCAATCAAACTGGGAGCTTGTATGGCGAGGCCCGATGCGCAACGGTGCTGTATTTACAGAGCGGTGCCCTCGAGGTGCGTGGCTGATGAAGATACCTGGAAACTTTGTGTTGTGAGGAATGATCGCCTGCTGTTTTGCATGAAGTTGCAGCTTTAAAGAGAGAGAGAGTTGAACCTGCGCGATACCTTTCCATTCAAAGGTAACATCTGTCCAATTATAATGCCTGTAGTGACACCTTTTATAGGAAGTTCGTCTTTTTACATATGTTACGTTTGTTATTTAGTATCGTGCAGTATATGACAGCTCACTAAAAATAACCTTGTAAATTCTGTCAATTTATATTTTAGTTTTAGATTAGATCTCACTGCCGATGATAGATGCTAATCTGGGTTTAAAACGTAATGTATACAGAATGCATCAATGCATAGTTAAAATGTCAACAATTATACTCTGTAGTATAGTATAGAGTCTATACTATAGTTGTCATCTGCTTTCCGAAAGTGTGCTTTAAGTCTAGACTATTACAGGATTATATATCACTATCAGCAAATGTTGGTACATTAGAAGAAGAAAAATAACTGTTTATGCATGAGTCACTGGCCATGAACTCAAATTGTATGTTCTCAGGATGTTTTATATGAATTTAACTATGATTTAACTATGACTTGAAATGTAATAATATTTTATAAATTAAATTAATCTGCTTTAATTTTCAAATGCTGTTTTGCATGAAAAAGAACATGGTAATTGACTTATAACATTGTGAGAAAGCGTTCATGCACTCATATTGCACAACAAACTATTTAATTAACATTAAAGTGCATGTTATCGATATTTCTTTGATACTTGCATAAATACACTCACGTTGTTAATTATTTTTATGAAACATGCTATGCATAAGCAAGTGATTTTAGAGGGCTAGAACACTTAAAATGAAAGTGTGGCTATTAAATATTTTGCAGTGTTGATATTGTGTACTGTTTTGTCATCACAGCGTATACTGGTGACACTCAGGCTTGTCATTTTAAAGCTGGCTTTTCTGAATTGGTTTAGCTGTGGGTGTTTTCAAAGATGTGATTGCCAGAGGTGCTGAGCTGGTGCTGCCATCTGCACTCTCAGTCTGGTGGTATCTACTATGGCCTACATATAACTGGTTCACTGACACCCACACATACTCGTCTGATCTGGATCCATCATTCTGTCTCTCCATCTGACCCACTCCGTTTCCAACAATCTTGCCCTTAAGTAGCTTTGCACATTCATGGGTATTTCTGTCAGTTTGTGCCATCAGAATATGGACTGGGAGGTTATACTTACGGATGATTGCACAAAGAGTACCTTTTCAAAGTCGGTATATTCATTTAGAGGTTGTTTGAGATCAAAAAAGTTTTTTTATTTGTCTTGAAGTGGGCTTTTTAAAAAAAATTTATAAAGGGGTCATATGACGTTGCTAAAAAGAACATTATTTTGTGTTTTTGGTGTAATGCAATGTGTTTATGCGGTTTAAGGTTCAAAAAACACATTGCTTTCCAAATAATGTACATTATTGTTTCTCCTCTATGCCCCGCCTTTCTGAAACGCGTCGATTTTTACAAAGCTCATCGGTCTGAAAAAGCGAGGTGTGCTCTGATTGGCCAGCTATCCAGTGCATTGTGATTGGCCGAATGCCTCAAGCGTGTGACGGAAATGTTACGCCCCTTAACATACTGTGATGCCGTCACCCAGCAGGACGAGATAAAACCCATTACAAATGAGGCATTTGTTGCATCCAGTGGGGACATTGTGACGTAGACATGTGGGGGCGTGTTAGAACGAGACGTTTTAGGTAGGCGTGGTTGACTCGTAACTTTTATAAAGAATATCTCTTTGGATTTGAGACTTTAATCTTTGCAACTTTACAGATCTTCTTTATGCACCAAGAGCTTGTAACACTCCAAAGAGAAAGGAAAAATTGAAATCGGATCATATGACCCCTTTAATTTTCAGGATTGTATTTTCTCCAAACTTTAAAATATTAAAATGTTATTTTAAGTGTGCATTTACTAATCAATATGAATCCTTTAAAAGAGCTCCTTGTATTTGTGTATTGTAATTACGTTAACAGGGACACTGTAAAATAAATTGTAAATCCATCAGATGTATAATTAGCAATTTAGTTAGAGCTAAATATCACAGCATATGTGTGTACGCAGCAGGGGCTTTTTAATTTGTGCTGACAGATTTCAAAGGACAGCAAAAAAAGGTGCTATTATGGGAGCTGCCTGCTGTGTATTATGTGAGGGACTGGGGAGAACGAGGGGGGATTCGCCACCTGTCTGGGGGTCCTTGTCTGTTTAGATGCCCTCTTACTGCTTAAAATGCGCGAGACCTGTTATGATGTTCTAGTTTAACAAGCAAAACAAACAAAGCCATTTATTAAAAGCAGATTTCGTGCTGATGTACCTGCTACACCATGTGTTATTGTTACATAACAGGTATTTTTATTAAAAACGGGTTTATCTGATTTGTGTTAGTGTTATACTTTGGGACAGAGATGATATTGATTTACAATATTATGCACTTGAAAACAGCCCATGTGTGTTTCCAAGTTTGTTGAGGAAACCTGAGCTAGTTTTCTTGATATATGCATGCATAAACAAAAAAGAAAAGAAAAAATCTCCATTGTGTCTCAAGGATTACCTGTGTTTAAGTTAGTATTAGTCAGGGTCTAACCACCATAGAAATTAAAGGAATAGTTCACCCAAAAATGAAAAATTAATGAAAATGTACTCACCCTCAGACCATACAAGATTTAGATGAGTTTGTTTCTTCATCAGAATAGATTTGGTGAAATTTAGCATTTAGCATGGGTGTCGTTAGAATGAGAGTCCAAATAGCTGATAAAAACATCACAATGATCCACAAGTAATCCACACGACTCCAGTCTATCAAACATCTTGTGCAGTGAAAAGCTGTGTGTTTATAAGAAACAAATCCATCATTTAACTTGAAACCATTACTTCTAAAGCAATATTATGGTTAGAGGACTTGAGCAAGTGATGTAAAGTCAATTTTTCTAAATCCGTTCCGATGAAGAAGCAAGCTTATTTACATCTTGGATAACCTGAGGGTAAACTATTCCTTTAAGGGAAATGCATTTCCCCGGATATTCGACCATAATTGCAGTCTTGGTTTTGTTACAGCAGTCTGTATCAGATTTGTTTGTCGAGTCGTCAACTGTGTGGTCAGAAGAAGAAAGATCAGCCATGTTTGGACATTTGATGAAGAATGAGATCTCTTCATTATACGTGTGTTTGGTCTGCTCCAGACTCATTTGAAATGGTAAACACACAAAACAGACAGAGACAAAGTGGGCACCGTTTCGGTGATTATGGCCTCAGTAATTATAATACAATCGTTTATCTTCATCTCATCTGTCGAGATCTGAATGAATTCCAGCTTCTACATCTTACATAAATTTCCCCCATAATCATTTTACCTCCAATTAGCCTTATACCAGCGACGTATCTGTCTTTTGTTGATTCTGTGTAATTGTGTTAGAAGTCGCATGAGGAAATGATGTCGAAAATTATGCTGCTGTAACGTTTGGTCAAATTATACAACGTTCCTAATGGCAGAGCGAACACAATGGTGCTTAATTATGCCAAGGAGAGTCAAATTTCAAGCCTCACGCTGGTGACTAGAATACTCTCCGGCTGTATTCTTGTAAGGCCTGTTTGATCACGTCTGTGCCAAAGCAAATATAATCACAGAATCGCAAACAGTTTCCCAGGAAACCTTACTTGCAGCCTTTTAGGAATTGTCTAATTCAATTTGTTGAGTCACTGAGTTCATGTGATATCTAAAAAAGAATTTATTCTTTTAGTTAGTTTTCTCAGTCACACAAGCCACGTGGCTTTATTTGCATGGTAACACTTTACAATACGGTTTTTGTGTCCGTGCATTAGTTAACATCTACTTACTAAGATTAATAAATGCTGTAGAGGTATTATTTATTGTTAGCTTATGTAAGCCAATGTAGTATTAACAAATGAAACATTATTGTTAAGTGTTACCATTTGTATTCTACAATGGAAAAAACGTTTAAACATTTGTTCCTTTCTAAATATGTGCTTTATGACCTCAGCAGGGTTTATTGCTGACTTTGCTGAGTCCGAACAGCCAACGAATGCTTTTGTTTATGTGATAATTATGTCGGTTTGCAGCGATGTGGTTGGAATTCAAATATCTGATGATGTAATATGCTGATTTGGCGCTCAATTATTGTTGGTAATTATTAATAATGGCACTTATTATTGACATTGTTGAAAACGGTTTTTGCTGCCTAATATATATATATTTTTTTGTGAAAATCATTTTTTCAAGATCCTTTGATGAATAGGAAATTCAAAATAACAGCATTTATTTGAAATATAAATATTTTGATACATTATAAATGCCTTAAACTGTCACTGTTGATCAATTTAATGCTTCCTTGCTAAAAAAAAAAAGTATTAATTTCTATCTTTAAAAAAAAATCTTACCCCAAACTTTTCACTGGTAGTTTATTTTTACATCGTTTAGTTCTCTTCCTAAAAATGTGTGTGTTCCCCACAGGTGTGCTCTCGTCTCTCCTGAAGCTTCACCACGGCCCTCACCTGCGTGCTCCACTGTTTCTCCTGCGAGTCGTCCTGGGCTGACCGGCCCTTCCTGTTCCTCAAATATCTGATGATGTCACTCACAAGGCCCTTTTTCGATCTCACGAATAGCTGTCCGCGCTTCTGGGTAATTAAATAAGATGCCTGCAGATTCTTTTAGTAATTAGTTCTGCCTTAAATCTCGTCCAAAGCTGCTTCCTTCAGCAGGCGAAAAGCTGCCAACATGCCACGATGACGTAAAAGAGGGCACACAATAACTCAGATTGCCGACTTATTAATTGAATTCAGAAAATCACAACAAATTTGTGTGACCCGAAGGGGTAGTTCTTTCAAAAAATGGCAAATGCATCATGATTAACTCGTCCTCGTTTCATTCCAAACCTGTATGACTGAAAAGGAGATGTTTAGGATAATGTTCACGCTGCTCTTTTCCATAAAATGTAAGCAAATAGTGACCAGAGTCTGTCAGTCTCAAAAAGGACAACAAAGCACCATAAAAGTAGCTCATTACTTAAACTATCAAATTTCAGAGCGAAAGTGTAGGGAAAATTTGTGTAAACGTGAATAACAACCTAAATTTTATAGCACATGAACTACTTCTGCAACATTTTGTGTGATAACATATGGATTTGTTTTGTTTAAATGCAACACATTTTATTTAGGGATGAATCCACCGAACAAAGAGGAGTGTTGAAATCATACACGTTTGGTTGTCTGGCTGTCTCTGTGTGTTTGAACCCATTCATTGGCAGGTCTCCAGCTCTCTGCATTAAAAAGCCGCCTCTCATACAGCGCAGCCCCCTTCTAACCCGAGGGCAGGATGAACGCAGGACCACACAATCACAGTTAGCTGACAGACAACAGCTCACAGACGCTCTGATTCATGCCTATTTGCCTGCATTTGCACTGTGTTTGTGTGAATGACGTCTGCTGCGTTCACTGTCTGTGTGTGTCTTGCTGACGTACACTCAGTTTTCAACATCATTTCGCATCAATCTGTGTCATTCATGACACCAAAAATGTAGGAATACACTGTAGAATTCTTTAATATTTAATATCTATTCATTCTTTATGTCTTTGCACATTCATTTATATAGCTACTACAACATGTCAAGCTTGTCTTAAAGGGGCCACTACACTTTATATTTTTATTTCATCTCTTTTTTTCTCTTTGATACTTAAAGTTAAACTGGCTGTTTTGCAACTGCATTTTAAAGACTACAATGTGAAAGTTCAATATGTTATGTTTTGATGCATACATATATGTTGTTATATGTTAATATGCTTATGGTAGTGGTGTCATACATACGATGATTTCTGCATTATACACTACTGGTCAAAGGTTTGGAATAATTGAGAAATTTTTGAGAATGTTTTTGAACCAATAGCGTTTATTTAAAAAAAAACAAAAAAACAGTAATGTTGTGAAATATTATTACAGTTCAGAACTGGTTATATATATATATCTGGAGTAATGAAAACTGAAACTCCATCTTTGTCATTACAGGAATAAATTACTTTTTAATATATATATATATATATATATATATTTTAGTTTATTTAAATTTAGTTATTTTAGTACTTCAACTTTAACTAAATGAAAAATTAGAACTAGCTGAAAAAAAAAATTAGGCAAGTAGCTGAAATAAAACACATTTAAGTTTTATATATTTTATTTAGTTTATTTTATTTCAAGTAAAGAAAATGTTAGCTCAATTATTGTTGGTAATTATTAATAATGGCACTTATTATTGACATTGTTGAAAACGGTTTTTGCTGCCTAATATATATATATTTTTTTGTGAAAATCATTTTTTCAAGATCCTTTGATGAATAGGAAATTCAAAATAACAGCATTTATTTGAAATATAAATATTTTGATACATTATAAATGCCTTAAACTGTCACTGTTGATCAATTTAATGCTTCCTTGCTAAAAAAAAAAAGTATTAATTTCTATCTTTAAAAAAAAATCTTACCCCAAACTTTTCACTGGTAGTTTATTTTTACATCGTTTAGTTCTCTTCCTAAAAATGTGTGTGTTCCCCACAGGTGTGCTCTCGTCTCTCCTGAAGCTTCACCACGGCCCTCACCTGCGTGCTCCACTGTTTCTCCTGCGAGTCGTCCTGGGCTGACCGGCCCTTCCTGTTCCGCCCCCGCGCCGTCTCTCCCGCCACGGTCGCCATGACGCGCTCCAAAACCTTCCAGGCCTACCTACCCAACTGCCATCGCACCTACAGCTGCATTCACTGCCGAGCACACCTGGCCAACCATGATGAGCTCATCTCAAAGGTAATCAGCAATATATCTTTTAGCCTCTTTTATCTTAATCATAGACCTTAATCAGGTTAGACACCATATTGAATTGGATGAAAACGAGGCTGTGAGGGGTAGACTTCAGGCCCGTTCACACCAAGCACGATAACTATAAAGATAACGATAAAGATATAGTTCTAAAAACGTACTCAGTATTAAAGAATCGCAGAGTCCACACCACAGCTATAACGATAAAAGCACAGAGAAACGATATGGTTGGAATCACTTCCAGAATTATTTTTTCCAGTTGATGAATGTTAAAAAAACATTTACAGCCAATCAGAATCCATCCTGCTATAACAAGCTGTAGAATTTAAGGCGACAGACGCGCGTGCGCTTAGAATAAACAGACGATATCGTTCGCTGGTGTGGACGCTAATATCGTTACCTTTAGAGTTCTCTTTATAGTTATCGTTCTTGGTGTGAACCGGCTTTTACAGTCTTTACAATGGCATGCGCTGTATAAAGGTCCTAGTAGTGTTCAAAACTGTTTTATAGAGTTTTTTCAGTTAAAAGTCTTTTGTAAGATGTTTTGTCAGCTGAACAATCGGTGTGTTTTTGGATTGTTCTGTACAATCCATCCTAATGGAATTCCTGTTGAAGAGTCATGAAACACTATGTGAACAAAACAATATTTTTGGGGATTTTCAGATTAGTTGCACATGAATTAAAGGCAATATTTAACTTACATTAGCATCCGCAACATCATGGAATAACAGTGTCAAAATTTATATGTGTGTTTTTGTGTAATATGTTAAAAAGTTTATAATCATTTTTTATATATTTTGCATTTTATACATGCGTATCGTTCAAGCTTTTGGGGTCAGTAAGATTATTTTATTTATTTATTTATTCTTTTTTAGAAATGAATCATTTTAGTTTAGCCATATATAATGTTTCAAAAGATTTCTGTTTCAAGTAATTGCTGTTCTTTCGAACTTTCTATTCATCAAAGAATCTTGAGATGTTTCTTGAGCAGCAAATCAGCAAATTAGAATTATTTCTGAAGGATCATGTGACACAGAAGACTGAAGTAATGATGCTAAATATTCAGCAATTCTATGACAGCAATAAATTACATTTTAAAATATATTAAAATAGAAAACAGTTATTTTAATTTGTTATAATATTTCATAATATTGATGTTTTTACTGTATGTTTAATCAAATAAATAAAGCCTTGGTGTGCTTAAAGAATATTTTTCAAAAATATTTTTAAATCTTACCTCAAACTTTTGAACAGTAGTGTATACATTTTTTTGCAATTTTGGATTGCTCTGTGGATTTTGGGTAAACTTTTGATTCCGTTCTTTAAAAACGGACCCATACATAAAAATGGAGTTTATGACTTCATTAGTGAAACCATATAATCCCACTTTAATTGTACTACATGTGCACAGACTCCTCCAATGGCACACTTTTAAAACACCATATGGGGCCTTTTTATGAGGTGTGTGTCATTATGTGTGTGCATGGAGAAATATGTGTCAAAGATTATTAATAGCACCTTTAATTCATAATGTGAACTTTGTGCATATGAGTTATCTGCGCCTGGATTGTATGTGTGGGCAGAATGTGGTTCAGTAAGGCACTCAGCTTCCTGACATACATGTCACACAATCAAGGATCAAGGGAAGCAGGTCATCGTTTGGGCTTTTGTGTGCTGCAGAAGTAAGAGTAATCACGTCTCTGTAGTATACACAGATGATCCAGGACACCCACGTATACCCATAATGCTATACTAAAGCCTGCGCACAGGGTTTTGGTCGTCTGATACCATGACTGTCTCTGACAGGGTTTTTGATTCGCCGTGTGTGTTTACAGATTGTGCAGATTAGACAAGATTGTTTTTGCTTCATTCATTAGTTGTTCACATACTGTGTTTGCGATATAAAGGCTGCGGTATCCGGCCTGACGAGGCTTACTTGTGTTGCAGGGGGAGTGAGAGCACTGCAGGCGGTTCTGGGGTGGAGTTGAGGTTGAAATGATGATTAGATTTCAATTAGTTTGAATCCCTCTGAACCAAATAAAGGTCAGAGTGGAACATAATAATTGTAGTAGTTTAAAAGTAAGTTAATAGACTTTGCACAATAGGAGGCTTGTGTTTTTGATTTAACATTCAGGTAGTAAAACTTGTTAAAGGGGGAGAAAAAAAAGGTGATCCAGCATTTGGATAGCTAGTATTTGAAATGTATACAAACTGCCTTCATTAAACATGAAAATGGCACGTATTCAGTAAATTTAAATACATTTTTAAATGTTATTAATTAATGTGTTACTTTGGCAGCTCTTAAGTACAAAAATAATGTACTCAAAAATAAAAGTGAAAACACTGAAAATATGTAAGGAATCATCATTTCAATGGAACAGTCATAGCCAGATAGATTCAATGTTTCATGCAAGTAGTAAAATATCGGTTTAAAATAATTGAGGCAAGGAAGAATTATATTAATAATTTTCATTTAAATCATTGAATGCATGATTGTTAATTTGTTGAAAATGCAACTTTAACATTTTAAATTGTATGCAATTTTAGATTTTGTAATAATATTTCACAATATTACTGTTTTTACTATATTTTAAAAACTATATATATAAAAACATTAAAATGTTACCAACTCCAAACATTTGAAAGATGTGTGTATAATGTAATAATATAATATACTTGAGAGTTTTCATGTATACATCTTATTTGTTTTTTTTAAATTGTAAAAATATAAAAACTATTTAAATCCATATTTAAATGTCATTAATTAATGTGTTACTTTGGCAGTAAATACAAAGTAATTTATTTAAAATAATAGATTCAAATGAATAGACTCAATGTTTTATTTAAAAATCTGGAAGAATTATATTTAATTTCTTTTAAATCATTGATTGAATCATTGTGAATCTGCTAAATGACTTAATTTGAATTGTTAAATCTGAATCTGAATGAATCATTTAATCCATTTTGAACTGATTGATTGAAACAGGCACTTTTAACCGATTCACAGAAAATGTATTAACATACTACAAGAGTTTATAATTATATTAATGTGTTTATTGTATTGTGTTTCAAGTTTACCCATTGTTGTCATGGTTTCATTCAGGTCTTGTAGATTATTTAGGCTTAAAGATAGAGAAAGAAAGAACGCCTTCATTACTATCCAGTATAGCACAGCCAAAATGAAAGCACCCTAATGATCTTTTGATCCATGCCCATATGGCCAAACCGCTTTCAAATACCCGTAATTATGACCCTGTCCCGTTTCACATCATGCCTGGGAAATCCTATCTGCCAAGGTCATGAATGGAGCAGCGAAGGGAAATTGATTTTTCCAAAAGATTACCTGATTGTGCAGTCACAATACAAGTAAATGATGTTGAATTACTCTGACGGAAATATGTAAAACACATGTCAGCCAATTCAGTGTTTGTTAGGATGTGTTTTTTTTTCAATGTAATCTTTCCTGTTTTATTTCCTTTGCAGTCTTTTCAAGGGAGTCAAGGCAGGGCCTACCTCTTCAACTCAGTGTAAGTCCTGTAGTTTGTCTTAACCATCCAACACAAAAAGGTCAAAAAGGTCATGCCAAATTTTGATATCCTCTTTTCATCAATCAGGGTGAATGTAGGCTGCGGGCCGGCAGAGGAGAGGGTACTGCTGACCGGTCTTCACGCGGTGGCCGATATCTACTGTGAGAACTGTAAAACCACTCTGGGCTGGAAATATGTAAGTCCTGGATCAGACTAGATACACACACTCACTCACTCAAAGACCACTTACCTCAAACACACACTCATGATCATTCACACCGGACAAGAATACTTACATTTTGACAGCTTTCTCCAGCCGGTCAAGATAATTCATCTATATCTCACGTGAGGGATATGACCCATCATGAGAGATACTTTAAGTGGCTTTTCCACACACTCATGACCAGCTTCCCACGTCACTAATCTACTGCTGACAATCTTTGAGTACCTTGTGCTTTCCAAGACAAAAGAGTTTTCCAAGAGTCATTTCAATCTATTGGCTTTGAATGGCTAATCAGTGAAGAGCACTTCAGAAAATGTTAAACTCTTGTCACTTTTGAAAAACTTATCTTATGAAAAGAAAACTAATGAAAAAATAAGTTATCTCTCCAAAAAAAAAAAATTATTATAGTCAGGTGGTATAAAAATCAGGTAAAATGCAACATTTACATTATTGTTTGAAAGTGTGGGCTCAATAAGATTTTTTTTAAAGATGTGAATACTTTTATATTTAGCAAGGATGCATTAAATTGATCAAAAAATTATACATTTATAATGTAAATTTGTACATTTATAATGCTACAATAGATTTCTGTTTCAAATAAATGATGTTCTTTTCGACTTCTGTTTATCAAATAATCCTGAAAAAAAATCATCAATGTTTCCACAAAAATATTAAGCAGCACAATTGTTTTCCACACTGATATTAATAAGAAATGGTATAAAAAGTTACTTGAATAAATAAAATTTTTAAATATATTAAAATAGAAAACAGTTTGTATTGTATTGTAATAATATTTTTCAATATTTGTGATCAAATAAATGCAGCTTTGGTGAGCATAAGAAACTTTAAAACAAAAAAATTCAAAAATCTTACTGACCACAAACTTTTGAACACTAATGTATATTATAAAATACAATATTAAAATCTAATATAATATATAACTATATAGTTTATTTTTAAAAAGGTTGTAAAACATAAAAATATTAAATAATATTAAAACGTAACATACAAAAATATACTTAATATTAAAAATGACTACAAATACAATATTATTTAAAAAGTTAAATCTATATGTGAAATGTATGAAATTATAAAAAAAAATGAATCATTATATACAGGTGCATCTCAATAAATTAGAATGTCGTGGAAAAGTACATTTATTTCAGTAATTCAACTCAAATTGTAAAATTTTTTTTTTTTTTAGAAACATGTCAGAAGTCATGAGGGACTTGTCCACTATAAGATATCATTTCCTATTATATATTTTTAGTCACATAACAACAAAATGGTGACATTTGATTCATCTGAAAGGTTTTTCATAATGCAGATTACGACTTTTCAGCCTTTTTATCTTGATTCCCCCCCATCCCCCACAAATATATCAAAATGAATGTTAATTCATTATATAAGAGGAGTGTTCAAGACATTCTTGCTGTATTTATAAATGAGTTATTTGACATCATTGATGCTTATATTTAAAGAATAAGCATATCAGAATAGATTTAGAAGCTGGCACTTGTTTTACAGCCCATATATAGTAAAACATCTCCTCTAATACTGCTATTTAAAGGTCTTATATTTGATTGACATATCTAGAAAAGCTTCCCAACAGCTGTCTATTATTTTTGGATCAGCAGATCTTGACTTTGAGGTGACCACACGCTCGTTCTCTTTTTCTCTCTCCCTCCCTCTTCTTCTTTCCGATAGGAGCATGCTTTCGAAAGCAGTCAGAAGTACAAGGAGGGCAAATTCATCATCGAGCTGGCCCACATGATCAAGGACAATGGGTGGGACTGAAAACCCTGGACTCCCCACGGCCCATAACGCTGGAAAGAGACGTGCAGCATATGAATAATTCGTTTCATTATCTGGCTGTAACTTCCTCCCTGGAAATCGATCTACCTGACACACACCTCTAAACCGTGAGGGTGCAAGGTTCATAGCAGCAGCGCTACCCATTTCCTGTGTGTATATACGAACGAATGTGTGCCAGCTAGACACCAAGTGTTTCTCTTATGTGAGTATTTTCCTATTCAGTTCAAGGGAGTGCGTGTGTGCAAATCGAGGCACAAATTGACGTTTGCTTTCCTCGGGGTTGGCCAAGGTCACAGTTTTGTCCCACACTCAGGTTTAACTAATGGCTGGATCCATGGTGAAGAAGGGTGAAAACACTCTCAAACAGAAGCGTCGTTCATTTGTTTCCCTTTTCTCTATTTCCTTCAGTCACTTGCATGCCGTTTATTTATACGTGTATTTATTGATCTGTTCGTTTTAGGGACGTTACGTTTATGGTAAACTGTAGCAACCACAGTGGTCTTACTTTGACCTCGTATAGCGGAAGTAGCAACGTTTGATAGAGGTTTGTACGTTCACTTCCTCTCCAGATTGTGATCTGTCTCCGTTTGAATGTGATTATGGAGTAAATGAGGCATTCATATGCCATTTATAGGGCACAGGTCGCGTACATTAGCTAGAGCCAAGTCTTTCGCCCCAGCCGCAGCTGAGAAAAGCAGCTGTCAGCTTTGAAAGGGAACTGAGGTGTTCTCACAGCCCGTGATGTCCCCTTCGGTATCATTAGTTCCCGCCATTAAATCACAATTCAAGTGGTAAACCAGACTTTCTCACCACGTGTTTTGGGGAAGAAAGCGATCGACAACTAGTAAATGTGGCCGCTGAACGAGGTAATCCAGATGGGGCTCGTAAATAAAAAGCCTTGGCGCAACCAAAGACTCTTTCATCACCTACGCTGACCAAACTGAGTTCGATTTCCTGATTTAAGGCCTGTTCACACCAAGGACAATAACGGTAACGATAAATATAACGTTTTAAAAATCGTTGTAATTCTGTGAGAATAGTAGAGTCCACAAGTGTAACGATAACGACACAGAGGAACAATAATGATTTTTGTTTTAGCTGATGAACGATAAAAACATTGACGGCCAATCAGGAAGCACTTGAATTTAACAAGCATGAGCATTTAAAGTGAGAGACAACATTAATGCAGTGCTTGCTTATAATGAACAGAAATTAGCATTGGCTGGTGTGGACTCTAATATAGTTATCATTATAGTTATTGTTCTTGGTGTGAACGGACCTTTAGAAGTCGATTTTTCTTTGATTTAGGTGTTTTGGATGTTAACGTATATTGTCTTATTTTGAGTATGTATTTATGATCGATCATCACGTATTGTTTTAGCACTCAATCTTACATCTGTGTATTTATCGTTCTGTGGGACCGCTCCACCTATTCCAACATTTTTTTTTTTATCATTTCAAATTGTTTTTTTCAAGAAGAATAGTGTGCGAGTAGTGAGATAAATTTGGAATCAGTATATTTTAATCTGATATCAATAAAGCTCTCATTTTATGAATGTCCTTTTGCCGTTGGTCTTTTTAAGAGTGTATTCACAGTTTTTAATAATAGTAATAATTTTATAAAGAAGTCTCTTTTTCTCACCAAGTCGGCATTTATTTGATCAAAAATATAGTAAAACAGTAATATTGCGAAATATTATTACAATTTAAAAGTGTCTGCTATTTTTATGAAATAGCAGCCATTGCTCACATGATCCTTCAGTAATCATTCTAATATGCCAATTAATTTTTATATTATCATCCTTGTTTCCATTTTTGTGAAACTGTTATAAAAAAATTTCAGGATAAATAGACAATTCAAAAGAAGAGCATTTATTTAAAATATCGGTCTTTTGTATCATTGTGAAAAGTTTTAACTGTCACTTTTGATCAATTTAGCGCATCATTGATAAATAAAAGAATTAAATTCTTTAAAAAATAACACCCTTTTGAACGGTATTGTGCATTTAAATAAGGAACACCGTTATCTTTCATTCATATTTTTAAATGTATGCCTTAAGTAAATCATGTGTTTCTGCAGATATTTAGGATATGAATTTTGAGAGCAGAGTTCAAATGTTCCCAAAGGCCTGTCTGTGCTGAATCTTGTACTCTGTCTCTGCATGCAGTGAGTGTGTGAGAGGGTGGCAGAGCCAGGAAACATTGTTTACAGCAGCAGATGGTGGGCAGACTCTCATAACCATGATACTAGGAGCAGCCATGTGAGTGACAAACATTGTGTTTTTCCCCCCCAGGCAGAGCTAATATGAATCCATTGTTTTATTCAGGCTCCCGATGGGAATTAACACCCTGTAACATCTATTACAGCACTTAACAGCTTCACATTACTGATAGAGACTGCTTTCCATTAAAAATACACAAAAAGCAGATTTTAACAAAGATTTAAGCAGATTTATGCAAATGTTTTTTTATAGATAGATTCTATAAATCTATATAGATTTTTTTTATAGATAGATTTAGAATAGATATTATTTGTTTAAAATTATATATTATATATATATATATATATTTATACACTAAAAAATGCAACCCAGCATTTTTTAGTGTGTAATAATAATAATAATAAAATATATATGTTAATAATTGGAATATTTTAGTTGGAGTGGAACTCCTGTCAGACAACGCTACGCTCCATATGACTAGTAAGTCAATTCTCAAATAACTGCCCTGATGACTTGTGTTCTACCCACTTAAATGATAGAAGTACTTGTGCTGTCCAATCTATAAAGACTGTGTCTGTTCCCCGAATAGTGAGGTCAAAATATAAATTTAACGCAGGATCTAGAAAAAATCTGATCGTGATTAAACCAGAAAAATGCAAAATAAATGAACAAAAACAAATTTTAATGTTTAGGAGCCCAAACTTTAAAAATTGTTTTTGTTCATTTATTTTACATTTTTCTGGTTTAATCACGATAAGATTTTTTCTAGATCCT